CAAAAGGAATAATAAAAGTGGGTTTTGCAATTCAAACATTCTTTAAAGGGTTGCCTTTAAAAGTTTGCCTTATACACACAGCTGCAAGGATTCCTGACCAAACGAAACACATATTATTAAAGGTTGGCTCAAGATGTTGAGTGTGATTGAATGAATGGTCAAACACTGTGGAAGATGACATCTTAATTATCCTTGTCCTTTGACATAGTGGTCTGACAGTTAGTGGTGTTCCCTTGATACCTGACTGAGTAGGCTTTTGTGGGGGTTGCATGGGTTTATCCTCTGTAGGATAAAGTGCTCTGTGTATTGTGTGGATTATTACTAAAATTAATTCTGCTATTATTACTACTTATCTGTACTACTTCTACTATGTTAACTATTATTCTTACTTCTCACTTTATCATGTATTTCTTTATTTGGTTGTGTGAACAGAAATATAAGTATATACAGTACGTGTCATGCTCATCGCTACAAATGAGTGGTGGGTCAAGCTATTATCTATATAGCTTGACCCACCAAGCTTCTTTCCCTGTCTGTGTGTCTGTGTCTCATGAAGAGCAAGCTGAGGTATGTGAAAAGACAAAATCCTAATGCAAAAAAAATGTATATGGCTAATAAAGTGATCTTATATTGTGCCAGCAACACTTAACATCTCCTGTCAGTCTATACCAGTTACTGTGGTAATTAATTTGATAGGAGACTTGTACCACCTGAGGTGGTGTGGTAGATAATTGCCTCCAGGTGGTACAAGACTCCTTTCGACTTAGACTTCATAGGAGTACATAGGTCATGTTCTGGCAGTACAGTTCAAGTTCCTGAATATGTTTGTTTCCTGGTTTCGGGACCCTTGCTTTGCCCTGACTTTGTTCATTGGATTCCCCCTGGTGTTTTGTACTGTGTCTCTTTGTTTATGCATTCTGCTTGTTTCCCTCAGCTCTGAGTTTGGACTTCCCTTTGTTCTGTGTTTCCCTCTTTACCTGGCTTTGAACCTCGCCCGTTGCCTTGGCTCACCATCCTATCTCTGTTGCTGGCTGTAAACAGTGTTCTGCTTGCTCACGTAGCTGCATGCCTGCTTGCTTGTGTACAGTATATCGGCCTGTTTTGGGGTTTATTTTATGAATATGCACCTTTGCTTTACTATGTTCAGCAGTGGCACATTACATATAGATAGATACTTTATTGATCCCGTGAGGGAAATTGATCTATATTTGATTTACTGTATATATACCCTTATATAGATCAAATGCCTAATGAATATAATGCAACTTATTCACATGCTTTCCTTGTTTGTCTTTGTTAACACAAATAAAAGAATCTTAAAGCTAGTATCTGAACTCCATTTCCTGGGTATTGCTGCTAATTCCTTCTTATCAATATTGCTCAGTATTTGGACTCCTTCACTTCTTTCAGCTATTACCTTTTAATTGATGCAGCTCATGTCTTCCTCTCCTTTCTCTGCTTCTTCTCATCATTTGTATATGGCTTAATTGCTCTGTGTTTGTAATTCTCGGTGCTTGTAATTGCTCGGTGTTTGTAATTAAAATTATTTAATTTGTGAGCTTTAGATTTTTTTTACAGTTCAGTACTGGTTTCCAATGAAAGTCACTGCAACAGTTAAAAGACATAAACTGAAAAAACATAAAACATTTTATAGAGTATTCTTCATAAATTTGGAGACACAAAACACAGAGGACCTGTTAGGGAGGACAATTTTGTTTATTTTTTTAATTCTTTTGGTTCACCAATATATTTGCATGCTTCCAAAGTAGATCATTTGCATGCTCTTTTAAAAAATACAATCAACATTGATATCTAAGTATGTCCACGCATGTGTCCTGTAGAACTAATCCCGTGATCCTGTATCTCACTATACTTATATTTAAACCACACAATTATAAATTTCAGAAATTTTAATTTCTTTGAATGAAGAAAAATTACTTTGAAGAGTCATTGAACAAGAAGTTACTGAAATCTACAGTTCTTTGTTAGAAGCAAAATATATTTTTGTATATTTTGTCACCCAAATTTAAAATTAAGTATGAAAAATATACATTTATATGAGCAAACTTAATTTTTTATAAAATACTAAATGTAAAAAGAAAATGCCTGTGGGGCATTGTACAGTATCATATTGATAAAGGCTCTCCACAACAGTTCAGTATGGCTTAAAAAAGAAAGACAAGTCTGGCCCAAAATTGGAACACATTGGGAGTGAAATGGAATGACTGCGAAGTCAGTTCTGGAAAAAACGTATCGACTTAATCTTCACTCGTAAGCCAAGATATTATAATATTCTGTAAGCAAACAGTTCATTCAGCACATCGCTTTCTGAAGTAGTCAGTAACTGAAACCCCGCTTATGGTATTGGGTTATGAGAAATGTCAGTGGATGAACCTGAAGTAGAAGAAATAAAAAAAGCATCTCAGGATTTTTCCCACTTGTACAGCTTTATTAGATTTGTCTAAATACCTTGCAAAAGGCTTTGGCTGCAGTCCACTGGATACAGCTGTTGCTTAATCAACCTATTCAACCTTGCAAAACTCGAACCTATTCTGCTACACATGTGAGATTATGATTTTACATACATACATGTCAGAGGACATATAGAAACTTATTTTGTCACATCACAAATTGAGTCTACATCCCCTTCTAATGCATAAAAGATGCCTAAACATCACTGGATGTGCGTGGTAGCAACCAAATCATAGTTCAGGAGACTTCATCAGTAAAGATATTTCAAAAATCCCAAAGCTTCACTGTGATAAACAGTAAACCACACAACACGTCTGCAATATCGTGGTAAATAAGGTGGTTAATAAGTAATTTGTAATATGTTATTTTTATTACATTGTATTGCTGTGTTACAATTTTGAAGGAATAACAACATATACAAAAAATGTACACCTGAAGAAAGCTGCACAGCATGGAATAAACCTTTACTTGTTCCTTTGTATAACACAATATATGTGAATTTTCAAAAACATCATTGTTAATAGAACTGTATTGTTTATTTTATTGAAAATTATTTTTCTTATCACCATTTTGTTATATTATAAACCCCATTTATTTATTATTTTACATAGATTGCACATTGTTTCACAAGCTTTAAGTACCATTAAGATTAGTAGTCCATTGTTATGAAATATGCCTTTTGAATGAGAGAGAATGCAGTACTTAAGTAATAATCACTGTTTTTTTCTGTCTTAGTAATTGCAGCAGAAATCAAGTTAGAAATATCTTTAAATGAACAAAAACATCTGAAATGTGGTAGACTTGGGCAATTTTGCTGGCATAATGTGCATGTTTGGCAATCGTCTTCTCATGCTGATGTGTTTTATAAATTTAATCAATCCAAAAGTGCAGTTCAGTGACTTAGCTGTTTTTTTTAAATTTGGTGTGCTGTCACACAGCATACATTAGAAATGACATTTGTCGGTTATTAGATTAGGTTTAGTTTCAGATCATTTAGTTTACAAGTTTAACTGGTTTATGAACTGGTGAGTCAAAAATATGAAAGCTGTTATACTCAATGCATCTCAGATAAGTGTCAAATATGTTTTGCTTTCCAATGTTATAGCTCACTGATTTAATACATTTGACTCCTTTTTAATATTTTTTTGTTTTAAACAAATAAGAAATAAAATAAAATCCTCTTTATTATTTTACCATTTTAAATAATATACAATATATGACCAAATAAGTGTTCATTGTTATTGTTGGAATGATTAGATATTAATAAAACTACAGAGATCGATACATTTACTGTTTTTGCTGTCTACATTCAAATAATTAAACTTAAATTTAAACTTAAAATAATTAAACTAATTTCCTTTTTCTGTTTAGAAATTCTCCTGGTTGATAAAAAAGCTTATTATGAACAAAGAAACCATGAATGAATGCCTTTGCAATGTAATATACTGTACCATTCTGTGCATTTATTTCTGTTTGTTATAGGTTGTGAATTTGTTGGTTACTCAATTAGTGCACTTTTAAATACATAGGACGTTTGAAAAATTGAATCTCCTGTGTCTTTTAAAATAAGTTACTTTTCATCTAGTATGGCATTATGTCTTTCTAAACTTAGAAATGCTATAAATGCACAAATGACTTTGGTTTCATTGTTTCACCAGAAGCATATATTCACAAATTATCAGTAACAATATTTTATTCATTTAGTTTCTGAACACTGAATTGGCCAAATCGGACCAATTGGCCAAATTGGCCAAAATCACATCTTGGTACTTGGTACATGCTACTTACTGTACCACATCATACTGTACATGTTAGCATGGTCTGCAGGTTGTAAAATCATGGAAGTGATCTGTGTCGGTATTTATACAGTAGGTTACTGTACTGTGACCCTGGGTACAAAGAACATAGTAATCATGGCTGAACTAATATACCAAGACTGTTTCAACCTAGTAGACAGGAGGTCACTTGGATATTGAGAGCAAGAATACCACTGTCCAGGATTGGAAAATGTCAGTATCCTGGTGTGTGTGGGTTGACAACATCATATCTGACCGAATCATGTCCAGAATCAAAAATGTTCAGCATCTCCAATTGTCGTGGAGACACCAGGATGTTGACATATCTGGTGGCTCCTCCAGGGTGGAGGCATTAGAGCCAGTATTAATTTAGTCACCAGTTTTTGATTTTGTCATAGTCTTAGTCAAGCTGACTAAAGTGTCTGTTAGTCATAGTGACTTTCTAGGCTAGCCCAGTAAGTTCAAGTTTAGTATATACGACAGCTTGGATGTGAATAACGTAAAATAGAGTAAAATGTCATGCATGAGCATGAAAACATTCAAACAGAAACTGGCAAATGCATATTAGTGCAATGATGTGTTCAGTGACAAGTCATAGTTCAGTGTGTTCTGGCATTCCAGCACGGAATTTAAAAATACACATTTTATTATGGGTGTGAACTTGGAAATGTTTTATTAAAGTTTTAGGTCACAAAATTCATTTTCTGCTGTTTCATTGATTTACAAATTTAGCATGGGAGTAAGCCATGACAATGATCACCCGACCTGTGCGGATGGCCTCCATATCATGTCTGGGGAGTGGATCAAAGGGCAGAAGCTTGGAGATGTGTCCTGGTCTCGCTGCAGCCGGGAAGATGTGGAAAGGTTTCTCAGGTAAAACAAAACAGAGAAAAGTCATACCATTAAAGGAATCCCTTGTGTTATCCTTTAAGATACTGTATATACTGTGTATTCATATAGAAGACAATGTTACTAAATGTTACTAGAAGACATGCTACTACTATGATAATAAAACATTTTAAAGTCTGCTTTTCCAAATTGCATTAGAGGTGTTTTCTTAGATATTTTTACTTAATTGTTACTATAAAAGAGCACAGTGGGATGAGTCTAAGGGAACAAGTTAAGATTTATTCCATGCTGAAAAGAGATGAAAAGAAGCACAACGTTTTGGCTGTGGAGCCTTCTTCAGGTGGGAGAAGGCTCCACAGCTGATATGTTGTGTTTCTTTTTCTTCTATTTTCAGCATGGAATAAACCTTTACTTGTTCCCTTGCAGCCTATGCATGCTGACACAGTTACCTACTTGAACTGCTGCAAAATGATTCCATTTCACTTTATACATGTTTTTGTACTTCTGGCCTGGTTTGTAAAATGCCATAGTTCACTGCATGAGTTAATTGCTCTGAATTTGAAGCTACCTGTATTGTATGAGGGTTCTCTCTGAAGGTGTCAGCATATGAAAAAAACAATGACACCTGAAATGTAGTTTGGAGTGATGGTATGTACACTCCCAGTTTTACATTTCATAACATTTTTTATACTTAAAATTTTAAAGACATTTGCTAGAGGTCAGATAGTCCTTGGAAGTTGTGAGTATTTAATTTATTACACAAATTACTGGTCTTTCATAATCAGAATGCAAACCACTTAGGAAAACATAGACTAATAAATATAATACCATCAGGAAATGTAAACTACTGTAAAATTAATATAAACTTTGTTTTCAGGATTGTTTAATGTACAAAGGGCTTTTTTATTTTTGTATTTAATTGTTAAACAGTTTTCTCTGACTTCCATAAAAAACACATACAAATGTAAATCACAGACAAGGTAGTGTCTTTAAGTTGTATTTAAATAAATTATTATATCTTCAGTGAAGGAAAACATATATATAACTGCCCCTAATGCATAGAACACATTTTGATAAGTAAAAAACATATATTTACTTGAAAATTACCATAGTATTTTATTGCCTAAGACTGAAATTAGTGTGATTTAATGAAGTAGGCAAAAAATTATGCTAACACAGCACAAGGGTATAATGTACGATGTTTAGAATTGGAATTTATGTTTGATTGCATTATCAGGACTGGTTGCCATACTTCAAAGAAGACATTTCTGCTCTAGAAGTAAAAAAATAAAGCTATAAGTTGAATATTGTATGTCATACACACGTGGCCTCAAACTGTCTCCAACAGCAGACATTTTGTAAGGCCTTGATGCAAATATTTAAAATTCTGAATTGTACTGATAAGTCAATCCAATGGACTATTTCAGAATCAACAGAGGAACAAGGGCCCAAAGAAACACATGGAAATTAAATATATAGTCAGAGAGCAGTCCTTTTTACAAAGGATAGTATCTGGAATATACTCAACATCTAAGTTGTTAAATTACTTAACAATTAGATTTTGGTCTACTTTTTTGTAAGGTGCAGTATATTCTTAAAAAGTGTTCATAAAATGGATTATATTCTATCATAACTGCATTGTGTAGGTGATGGAAAACAACATGCATTTACAATCTGTTAGAATAAAAAACACATATGGCCCCTCCATTATTTTTACTGGCATGCAGGGAAAATATCTGTTGTGAATTGGACAGCAAGGCTGGATGTAACATTTTCGGGGCCTCATATGAGGTTGTAGCCTGGGGCTCCCTTTAATCCTCAATCTAAAATACAAAGCAATTCATCGGTGTTATAATGTCAGTCAGAGAAACAACTGCAGTTCAAGGATTGCTTCATTTCTCACTCACCTTTTATTTAGAAAGATCAGCAATTATGGGCGTGAGGGTATTATGTAAAACATTAAACATTAACAAAAGCAATTTTAGCCAGTAAATTAAATAACAGGGCAGATTGGTGGCACACGTATTGTTCCCTTGCAGTACTGGGCCATGGGTTCAATTCTGGTCCTGGGGTGATGGGGTGCTATCTGTCTGGAATTTGTATGTTCTCCCTATGTTCACATGGATTGCACTGGTTTTCTCACACAGTCCAAAGGCACACTGGGAGGTTAATTGTCGTCAGGAAAGACTGGTGTGAGTGTGTGCATGGTTATGTCTGTGTGTGTGTTTGTGTCTGTGCTGTGATGGACTGGCATCCCACCTAAGTATCCTGCCTTGTGCCTGTTGCTTGCTGGGATAGAATTGGAAAAAGTGGTTAGAATATCCCTGTATTTGGGATATAAATTATAAAAAAGAACAGTAGTAGATTATACGGTATATGCTTATATACCGTATATACAGTATGTCAGTAAACAAAAGAAACCAAACACTGTAAAAGTCTGTGAAACTTAAAATTTACTTCACAGTTCTTATTATACATGGCCATGACCATAATATCTATTTGTGATATTTGATTAGTTAGAACTGTTTTTCATTTAGTAAAACAATGTTTACCTGGTGCAAAACTATTATCGAATGTGTATAGGAATTATGAATTAATTAGGTTTAAAAAACAACTCAATTTTATTGTCATATTACCAAATCAATATTATTTTTACAGTATATCTAATATGTATAAGTTGTTTTTTATTGTTACGTTGACAAATGCTCATTTATTTTATATTAGAAAATCAAAACCTTGTTTATTGAACACTGTTATGTGGACAGAACAAAAGGCATTTGGTTAAAATGATACACCAAGTAATTACAATCAATACAATACATACATGTATTTGTGTTAGCAACAATTTTTGTAAATTTCTGAACAGGTAAGCTCTTATACACAGCTCTAAGCATACACACTTTCCTATTTTAGAATTTAACTGTTGCTTTTTATAAGGTTATATTTGATGTATTTTGCAGCAGAAACATTAATCACATTTATTCAAGTAGTCTATTTGGCCTACAGTCTTGAAGATAATTGTACTAAGTAGGCTGATACATGTGTGCATCAAGTGCAAAATGGTTTAACTTTGGGTCTCTAAATCACTGCAAAAGCAGAGATCCTTCCCTTGGGATTAGGATGTTTCTTGAATCACACACCTGTTAAAGAATGGAGGCTGTTTGCTGGATAGTGTTTTAGAATAGTGACAGACAACTGTAGCCTTAACATACGGGAGATCTATTTCTTTAGAGTGATTGTATGTTAAGTCACTGTACAGTACATTTCTGTATTTTATTAAAATAATTTGTGCAAGAAAGTACAGTTTGAAGTTATGAGTCTTCTAGTTTAATGATTTGGAGGGAATAATATTTTGTGTATGAATAACATGTTTAACAATTTTGCTGTGTATTTTGTTCCAGGTCTAAAGCGAGCAGTTGCCTGTTGCAGACAGATCCCCTAAGCCTCAATTCTGTGATTCTTCCTTCTAAGTTACCTGGGATGACATACACAGCAGATGAGCAGTGTCAGATTCTGTTTGGGCCAAAAACATCCTATTGCCAAAAAATGCAGGTACAATATGTATAATTACTAAACAATTGTGGTGGCTGCATAATAGAAGAGTCAGAAGCCATATTTAAATTTAAGATCATTACAATTTCTGTTGTAAATGATATACACTTGAGAATAGATAAATACTGTATTCAATTAGACTAAAAAATATCACGCGAGACAACACTGCCTTCATGACAGTTGACTGTGTTAAATTTACCACAGGATATTTGCAAGGGATTATCATGTCTGCCATAACAAACCTTTATATCTCAGACAGCTTTATTATTGTATACCACTGATCCAGGCAAGTAAAGCATTGTGGTAACACAGAACACCTATGGTCAAGCTACAGTACAAGTAAACAATCGGACAAGTTTGAAAATCCTGTTGTAAATTTCCAACAGTAGACATCCCTCTACAGTATGCAAGTATAAATCTATTCAATTTAACACTATTCAGCATGTTGTAGAACCATGGTGCACGTTATTTGCTTCTCTATACCCTTCCAAGATACAGTATCATTGAAATGTCCTTCTAAAGGGCTCCTTTTCCTGAATACTGTTCTATTTAAACACAGTAATGAGAATCATGCTGATTAGAGATTGCATGACATCCAACAAGTTTTGAATATTAGGACAACAGATGTTCAGTTCAGATTTAATTTAAATATAACATGTACAATAATTTGTGAATTTGTTGTGTTCTTTATGAATACTTATCATGTCTGTATATTCTTACCTTAGAGACCACAAAGATATACTGTACATGTCAGTAAGAGGTTTTACAAGCTGTATATGTAATGCAGTTAGGAACATACAGTATTCCTCTATCAAAGTGGTAAATCCCTTTATTTACATTGTTTATGGTAATAAAGGAAATGGTACTGCTTCACAGAAAACACAAGACAGTTCATGAGAAAAGGCAAAGTATGTTACTTTATATCATTGTTTTTTCTACAGAATACTTTCATGGATCATTAAAAAATAGGTGGTTGTTGTCATGTTAGTGTTGTCCTGAGGCTACAATATCTCAGAAATTAGAATTAATATAGTATATTATTAACCTCATTCCCTCAAAACAGAAAAAATATCCACTAAAATGAACCTGCCAGAATAAAAATAAATTCTTTATAGATGATCTATAATTACAGTGCATTCCTTTTTGCTCATGGTGTTTAGTATTCATGCATTTTCTTGTGAGCAGCGAGTAGTGCAGCACAATCAATTTCCATGTGCAACATGGTCTCAGAGTGTCCGATGAGACATCATTCTTTATGATTCTTAATGACTCTTAAGAGTGTTTAAATGACCTACCCCAGTGGCTCAGCATTTGTTTTCGAGATTTTGACCACTGCTTGTTTGACCACTGAAGGTGCCTGAAAGACAGCAAATTAAATTAAGATCAGATTGCAAACTACACGAATGTGTAGTTATTTTAACATAATAAAGCAGTAATACATATGTAGGTTTGTAAAAAGGGTTGATAAGCATTTTTTTTTCATGGCCAAAATTAACAGCCTTAGAGAAGGATGTTTTGTATCTCTTGAGCTCAAAGGACGACACCAGTTTCATGTCAAAAAGTTCATGATCTCATTCTGTTTTCCTTGACAGCTGTATAAAAGTATAAAGAGAAATAGATTACTTTCCACAGCTTGAACCCAAATTATTTGCTGGTTATGCATTGGGTTTAGATGCTATTTTATAAACAATAGTTGAGAGAGCATGTCTGGACATTGCAATAAATGTATAAACTCCATTATAAACTATCTGGACAACCTTGGCATATCCAGACAGCCTTGGAAGGTATCTAACAAACATTGTATAGTTCTTTTGGCCCAAAGTGGGGTTAATCAAACTATCAACACTCATCGTTTTCTTCATTCCTCTGACATTATTACAGCAGTGAATATTCCAGGAACTTCAAATTTAACTGCTGCAAAGTACAGCTTAAGACTTTATTTGCCCTGATCAAGCTATCTCGGGATGGAAATTAAACACCATTAAAAATATTTAAAAAAGCAATCTGGCAGGATGCTGCTCATAGATGGAAAAAATTGAAATAAGCTGTTCAACCTGTTACAGGCTGAGGCATTTATGAACATATGGAGACAGATGGCAGAGCTAGACAAAAAATATACAAACCAATACGAATGTAGAATCTTTAAATCACCTCAACACTAAATAAAGGCAATGCAAAAATTCTAAAATAAAATTATTTTATGTATTATTCTACAAGCTTTGTTGTTATTTAACTAAATTTAAAATGTAACTAAAGTTTAAAAAAATTAGAAAAATTCTATTTAGTAAGAATTTTATTTAATGATATTATTATTAACCTAAAGGTGATTTATTTGCAACATCAAGAAAGTTGTGTTGTTTTTTTCTTTCAATTTTATGTGTGTCTTGGAAAAGGTTTTCATGTTTTCGCTGTTAGTAATCAAGACGCTAATCCATTTTTTCTAGAAAGATACAGGTATTATCAAAAAGAAAACTAAGTTGATCAAATCACCATCTACATTTCTAAAAGTCCATGTTAGTTGTGTTATATTTCCATTTAAAGTGCAATGTATCGTGTGATACCTTCAAAACAGAACCCTTTGGCAGGGATTCATAGTGACATCTTGTGGCAGCAACAAATCAAATATTTTACTTGCTTAAAAAGGAATAATAACAGCACCTTCAGTGACAGCACCTTCTATATTGTACCACATTAAATCTTTTGATATTAGATACATACAGTATAAACCAACCTCACAAAACTCTATTTAGGCTTTATCATATTCTTAACAATAGACATCAATGAAGTGCTTTGATCTATAAGACTTTATTACTTAATATATTTTTTTTATTTAAATACATTGAAATTAGACCTGATGAAATAGCAAATCATCATATTCGCCATTGATGTTTCGCATTCATGATGTTCACCATTATAATGAGCAAGAATTTACTATGGATGGCAACATGAAGGCTCATACAGTTAATACTTTGTATGGTTTGTACGATTTGAGACATTTTTACAAGTGTGTCATGTTAGACTTTATAACTGATTTCATATAATGTTAGACTTTATAACTGATTTCATATACAGTACCATTTAAGAAAATGAATTGCAGAACATAATGCTCAAAAGCAGATGTGACTGGATAATAATATCAAGTATGGAATTTATCTGTTGTGTCAAAGGACATCTGTACAGTGGAATGTCTTTTGGATGCATTTTAAATTCTAATTTTGACCAGCACTAACAAATGAGCCTAGTGTTGCTTTCAATCAAGCAGAATTAACTGGGATCTGGAGTAGATCAGGGTATGATAGTGAGATTGTATAGCTGTTAACTTTAATTTAAGTCTATACCCTACACTCTCTGTATCTGCAAGAAATACAGTACAGTATATGGTCTATATATTTGGTCTAAGCGGACACCTTACACTAACAATAACTAATTGACATAGATTCTTTATTTAAAGAAAATTTCATTTTGTTAAATTGGCTTGGAAAAACTGCAAAATATCAAGTAAAACATAAATATTGTTTTAATTTTTTTTCTTTCTGGTATCATTATGCTCTTAATATCTTAATACTAAAAATATTTTGTTCTACTAAGAATATTGTATTAATTGTAATCTATGATTAAAATTGGTTTGATAAAATATAGAATAAAAAAAAACATAACCTGGCTATTTAGTCATTCCTAGAATATGCAATAACATCATGTAATCAGTCTTGGATTGGCTTTATATAGTATAGTTGAAAATTAAATATAAAAAAGATATAAACTTAAACAAGTTATTTAAAATGGTATGAACATATTCCAATATATCTGTTCACTTTTTCTAATTTTATTATCTTACTTCATTACATTTCTGGCACTCGTGTAATGCTGATTTGCTTGACATATGAACTTCATATTGTATTGCATGTGGATGAGTTTAAATACCTGTATGTGACATTCCTAACAGATTGTTCAAATACAGAATGTAATTTAAACCAAATGAAAAAGTTTCTCTACTGTAGTAGAATGTATGTCATGAACATGACAATTGGGATGATAACCAGAGGGAAAACACAAAAAAGAAATATCTTGCTAAAAATATAGCAGACTTGAAAACATTTTAAACATTTCAAGTTCTTGTCAGAGGAATATACTGTAGCACCCAACCTAAGAGCTGAGGTCTCTTCCCTGTAGAGTAATGTTATGGATGTATTCTTTTCTTGATGATCAAAGTGGAAGACTAGGCACTCCCAATATTGTCCCTATCAAACCTATCAAACTGATTATTTATAGACTTCAGCCAGCTAAAAAAACACCACCAGGCTGACTCAGTATGGGTATGTTACATAATTGAATGCCTAAATGAAGTATTCCCTTTGAATCTTTTGTATTCTTTCACAAATTTCATTTGGAATAATAACACCTATTACCCAATATATACAAAATATTAAATGTTATGAATGTATTAATAAATTACCATGAACGTACAGTAAATTATGTTTTCTCATATTCCTCATGTAATAAATTCAATGTAACTTTCTACAATATTGCATTCCTAATAGGGAGTGAAACATACTGTAAATTTGAGGTTATATTGCCATAATATTCTTCTGTACTGTAGTTCCTGCATCATATGTTGTAACAGCTTCTATCTAATACATAAGAAACACTTTACATTTTAATTCTGTCATACATTCTTTATTTTCCTGTATAAGTAAAACTTATGTGGTCATTTAATAATTTTTGTTAAAAATGCAGCTTTAGGAGATTATTTTAATTTTGATATATTGAATGTAGTAATTGTTTCAGTCAACAGTTTCACTAAATTAAAAATATGACCAGAAATATTTAAACGGTCTTTGAAAACCATCTTTGATTAAAACACTATTTGTTGCTGCACAGAAACAAACAAAGACAGTTGTAGATATTTATATACCATTCAGGTGAAAAGAAAGGCTTATAACATAGAGCAAAGCCTTCCAGGTTTATCATTGCCCTAACTATACAATAATCTTCAATTTTGCAATATATTACATATCTAGGTTATGAATATGAATGAATATGTATAGGAATAGTTATTATTGATCTTTTAGGTCTGTTTTTTGAAAAAGCAGAATTTCTTCTATAAGCATATGCTGTAATGTGCACTGCAGCATTTGTAGCATTTATCCAACTGCAGTAAGCACTGAGGAAACACACGCTTGCAGTCTCTGTTACCTGCATAATGTATCACACTTCACCAGCATCTCTTTCATGTTCTGCAATTCTGCAATAAAGTGCATTGCTGTCATATACATTTTCCTTATTCTAGTATCCCCTACAAACTTTGAGATTTACAGGATGCTTCTCATAAACTTGTTGCGTTTGATTTAAAATGCATTTTGAAGTAACTGCATTGTCTACAGTATGTGGAAGTACTGTACAATGTACAGAACTTTACAAGCACTTCACTAGTAGATGTGTATCCTATGAGAGTGCCCTCCACTTTTTCGTCTCATTATTGTTTGTCTATCGTTTTCTTCTTGAGAAAAAAATGAATGTTAAAAGCTTCCTCTTCTGCAGATATACCATATTGATATTCTTTTAATATATTAGTTCACATAAATGATTGTATATAGTAGTTAGAGCTAGACTTTATGTAAAACTACCTACGAAAACTATTTGAGAAACATGAAGCTTGCAGATGTGGAGTGATATTTTCAAACATTAGCTTTTTCATTATAACATACTGTAGTTTCACACAACTATTTTATTAGTTTTCTCAGTACCTCCTGTGTCATTGCCTGCAATAAACAGCCCAGCTTCAATTTAGTTCATAAAATTAATCAGTTTTAAAAGTTTGTTGTAGCAATATATACTTTTCAGGGAACAGCAAAATATTTAATCTTGTTTCCTGGAGACTTTAATATCAGATGTCACTTCACTTTCATATCAAATCTCCCAAGTCATTCTGTAATTCAAATTCCAAGTTATGTCTTCAATTCCCTGGACACTAATAAATCAAATTTTAGTTTCCTTTGCTTATTTTGCTACCCTGCCAATTATTTGCTGTGTAAATATCATGCTCACTATTCAGATTTCATTGATTTTATTTCACATGTATGGTCCTCAAATAATGATGTCTGAAGACCACCTATTAAGCTGTTTTTATTCAAATTGTGCAAAAGATCAAAATAAGTACTCATTAGCTCTTAGATTTCTCCATTTTGTGAGAGAAACACCAATATTATAAAGTGCTGCAGTAGTTTATTAGAATTTCTATTAAATTAAAACTCCTCAGAGAATTTATCAGAGTACATCTGCCTTACAGAAGCACAATGTTGCAGGTGTAGTGTGAAAGGCACATACTGTAAAGTTGATCTACATGTGTCTTTTTTTTTCAAAATTTCCTACTTTCAAAACTGTGTATTGAAGAGAATTTTAACATTTATCTGTCTTCTGTTCTTCTCAGACTCTAAGCTGTGTATTTCTACTCTCAGAAGATAACACAAAGGAGGGAGAGTTCTGGTCCTCATAATTAACTCACTGGGAATCTTGCCCATGTTCTTTTTGCACTGGAATCAAACCTTTGAACTATAATGATGAATACAGTACAATTAACAGCAATTAACAGGATCCTCACGGTCTAACAAGATGCGCATAGTGCGGAGAGAAACTTTGCATTCAGTTTCTGTATGCATTTCATGCACTGAAAACCTGTAAATATGTTGTTAGACTGATAAAAGTAGATATACTGTGGTATCACCCTGAGAAAACTGATCTAAAAGTGCATACCCGAAATTCTTAGTGCCGAAATACTGAGGATTCATGAGAATAGCTGATTAAAGAGATTAGTCTTTTTTTGTTATATATCTTAATTTTGTTATATACTGTATCATAATTGTTTCAGTTAAAAGTTTCATTGAGTCAAAAATACAAAATGACAATTGTAAGTTATCTTTTTCTGAAAACCCTTTTCTATGACCCTTCATTAAATTTTCTTAAATTCGTAAATGATGTAATGTTAGTTTATTTTTAAATGACTTCACTAATGAAATTTGGCTTAAAGTTGCCTGTACTTTTACTTATCTTTTATGTTCCAGTAAAACCGAGGACCTTTTGTTTCCTCATTTTATTTCTTATGTGACAGCAGAATAATAAATTAATGTATTGTCTAGATGAAACTAAATCATGCCAATTAGATATATTACTATGCATGATGTCAGAAGTTATATTTTGGTTAAATATTTATGATTTATTAAATGCTTTGCATTTGCTGTCAACTATTTTTGAATATCATACAGTCTGCTGAAATGGATCTGTGTGTTAAGAAAATAAAAGTCTCTCTAACATCTAGTCATACCAACTAGCAATCTGTAGGAGCTCTCCAGTTCCATGCGTACATACATTCTTTGACTAATGTTTTTAAAATGCTTCATTTTGTTTTAAGATTATGTAATAATAAAAATAATACAAACTGGGAATTTTAGAATGAATATTGATGAATAGTTTCAAAGAACATTTTGACCCCTTAAGAACAGATTGATTTATCCGCTATGACATAATACCATTGATCAGCAATTGAGTTTTTAATGAAATGTCTTAAAACAAATTACATTTGCTTGCCTGAGACCTGGAGTTCAGTTCTATATTATGAAAAGAATGTCATGTCATTTACCAAACCACTAGCAAAGAATGTATGTGTCTTAATACCTTTGTTTATTCCTTTCCCATACTCAGCATGTTATTTGCTCCGGACTTTGGTGCAAAGTGGAAGGGGAGAAGGAGTGTAAGACCAAGCTTGATCCACCAATGGATGGGACAGAGTGTGACACAGGAAAGGTAAACTATTCTTACCTTAGGGCTGTACAAATGGTATATATGAAGAGAAAAAACATTTGTTTTAATCGTTTATTAGCAATAAATAACGAAAATGTCTATTTCGCTTAATTTAATAGACAGCTCCTCATTTTGACTTTTAATGATTCTTAAAATGTGTGAGCCACAGACTGAGAAGGGGTGTGCGAGTGTTTCACCCGAAGACGTGAATGATCTTTGTTCATTTCTGTAAAAAGCATAAATTAGCTGACCTTAATGTGGACATTGCATTTTCTCCTTGTGTCCCCGTGCCCATAGAGGATTGCTCTATTTACTCTGGTATTCCCAGTCCAAAAGCATGCTTTCTAGGTCAATTAACATCTCTGGATTGCCCCCCCACACATGCGTGTATAGGCACCCTGATAGGCATTAGCGAATTACCTAGAGTGTAGTTCCAACTGGCACCCTCTGCCTTCCAGGTTGGATTCTATCTCACCTTAACTCTCTAATTAAAAAGCAGGTCCTGAAAACAGGTGGAAAGGGACATAACCATAGTTATGTATCTGGGATTATTTCTGAATCCCAGAAGAACATAAGGATGGTGCACTTAATCTTAAATGCACAATGTATCCTTTGCACTGTGCTTTTCATCCTGAAGGAGCCTGAACAACTGAAGTGCAGTACCTATTAGCCCCACTGCATAGCAACAAAGTGAGACATTTCTTCATCAAATTAATTAAGTGGAAATTTATGGTAAGATAAATTCTGATAAAAACTGAATTTTGCTAAAACACTTAGGTTAACAACCGTACCCTTAAAGTGTCATGGGATATTTAATGACCATGAAGTCAAAACCTTGGTTTGATATGTTACAGTATTTAATGGATTGCAGCTTCTGCTTCACAGTGTCCCCTGTCACCATACTGGGGTACCTGTGTAGAAATTCTGTTTCCTACGTAAATTGACCCCTAGTTGTCCAACAATACCATTTAAATGTATATTAGCTTCCTGTTTTCCACTTTGAAACCTGGTTATTAGCCTCCCGTCCCAATACGGACCATGTCCAACTGTGCTTATTTTCTGAGATCTGACTACATTAGGCTACAGAGTGGTAATAGTGTGGTCCATTAGTGTGTTAATGTAACTCGCACATGTAGTGTATATTTGAATATCTCATAAACTAAGTCAAATTTTAATGTAAGTTATTACTTTTCACCTACAACTGTTATTTCAATACAAAACCTTTGTGAAATAATCTCCTTTTTGAAAAAAAGAGGTTTAACTATGAATTTCTATCTGCAAACAGAGTTCTATAGCATACTCAAAACTAGGCCTGTTGTTTCTGGCACCGTTAATAGACGTTTCTCCATTGAGATTTGGTTAACAGTCTTCCAAAGCATTGTCAGTATGAAAACCAATTTAAAGATAAAATAAAATGTTGGAAATAGTCTTTGAATACGATTACTGGAGTATAAGCCACCCATAACTTGTTCTGTTTGTGTTTGACATTATATGTCATTTCTCTGAGGAATTTAAATTTTAATTTCCATTTTATTCCAGTATTATATTTCTATTCTATCATTTTTTTTATGTGTGCCTCTTAAATTACTTGCATGTCTTCTAAATTAAACCTCCTAGAAAAGCAGGATATTGAAAAGTTATTTTAACTCTATACTCCCAAAAGAAGAAACTTAAATCTCATCAATTGTGACTATAGATATTCATTAGCTCTTTTTATATACAGTAACAACACTACAGGAGACACTGTAAGACTAATACACTAGTAAAAGTTAGCTGTCAAGGGTGTTTGCAGCAGCTAACTCTTGACTTTATTGCACAAAAGGCCAGGATAAGAAGTTGTTACCACAAGTCAGTTCAGTTCCCAAAAACATTGTGATTCCTTGCCATCGCTGCTCCCAGCCTAACCTAGAAGGGTGTTAATATTAAATTAGTCATACAAGTTGCACTTAACACAGGTGTTAGATTACATTAAATGAGCTAAGAGACAGGAAACTCTCTGTGATGGTGGTAGGCCTGACCAGGAACAGACCTTTAACTGACTAAACCACAGCTATAGTATGTATTCAGATGCATTGGAACTGGTTTCTGGGGAAGTTTCAGCAAATGGATAGAAAAACAAAAGAGCAGAATGGGCATCAATGGACATCTGAGGAGTTGTATTCCACAACAAGCCAGAAAGGGTTTACAGAGCCCATAGTGCGGGCAGAAAGACTCTACTTTTAGCAGAAGTTGTCCTGGAGATTCTACAGTATGCAGGCTACACAACATTATTCCTGAGCTCCGATAGAAGTTTAAGGAGAGAGCTGCTGGTCATGGATCAATACTTTTTAGGTCTCAGAATTTAGACTGACAACAGAAATCAGAAAAGATAGTGCAGGATTGTGTCTGTTTGGATCAACCTTTCATAACTACTGAACAATTGAATGAGACCACCACAAAAAATATGGTTTGAAACTGTGAAGTGAGGATATTTGCATTAACAAAGTAGTGTGGAGTGTGAAAAGACCATCCATCTCAAAAGGCACTATTAGGAACTTGCTGAATGTATTTTTCCATCACAAAGGACGCACTCAAATCTCAAAAACAGAATCTTATGTTAAGTTTCAAACCATTTTGTTCAGTTACACCGTAAATATTTAGGAATTTAGTACATGTAGTTGTATACAAATCTTTTAATTTCTTTAAATTTGTAAGAGCAAACCTTCAAAGATTAAACACTTTAAAGAGAGCCATAAAAGTTATAGCACTCATCCGATGAGAACAGTTTTGGAAAAAGAAAAAATGTCTCTAGTGTTTAGTACCTTTACTGAAATAGTGTAAAGATTATTTGGCAATAAACCCCGTAAACATTCTCTGACAGCTGAATGAATGTTCATTTAGTAAATCTGTTTATTATTGCTATAAACAGCTTCATTCTCCTTAGAGATTCCCAAACACACGTGTGTGCAATCAGTTGATCTCATAATCATTGGCATATTAGCCATATCTTACAATTCCTGCTTGGCTTCTTTGGGAAGGATTTGTGGTCATAGGGAATAATGATATAATTTCCAGGCATTTGAAAAAGAGAAAATTGCAATGTGCATTATACATTTTATAACTGATTAGCTTTCTTATTTTTCCCTTTGCTATATGAAATGTCCCAGTACTCTGCTGGCAGAAGCTGAACTTACTGTACATTAATATGGTAATATTATTTTATAAGGAACAGGTGAAGGTTTATTCCATGCTGAAAGGAAAAGAAAAGAGATACAATCTTTTTTTTCCTGTGGAGCCTTCTTCAGGTGTCAGAATTATTCATAATTATTATAATTAATACAAAAGCAGTAAGGTCTCCCTGCTCTAATATTGTTGCTCTAATATTGTTGCTCTAATATTGTTGGAATACAGTAAGTTGGAAATATACTGTACTGTACATGGCCAAGCTTAGCTAATTTGAATGAAACCTCTAATTCATGGTTTCTGGTGTATTTTGTATGTGAAACGACATTCAAACTTTTCTTTACTAAATTTTTTAAAATGTGTTTAACACGTGTCACTACAGGTAATTTCACTGTTTAAACAAAAACATATTTAAGTCACATTTATGGAGCAACTGCTGCTTAGTGGTAATTAAGCTGCAGGCAAAAGGCTTTCTATGCCAGGACTGTCCTATCAGGCAAAATCAAAGTCACAAGGCTGAGCCAACATATACTCTGAGAACCAAAAGTGGAGTTATGTTTATCATAACATCTTTTTCTTCTTTTCAACAGAAAAACTGGCTTCCAATTCCACTTCAGTCAAAAAAACACTGAGATTTATATTCTTAGACAGCAAAGCTTCTAGATCCAATTATGCTTTGAATTTTGTTATTTGTATACTAATTTAATTAGTATACTAATAGTATACAAAAGTAAATAAAAAACAGTTGAGTACGATGACTCAATTTATTTAGGTTTTTATTATTTTGTAAGATTGATATTGATGATTGTGCCCTAATTTATAGTCTAAGTTCAAAGTCAATCAAGCAGTCAAAGGGGAAATGTTAGGCCAGAGGTGCCCAACTGCAAGGTCTGCTATCTAGCAGGTATTATAGGTTTCTCTTTAGAACAAAGAAAGGTTTAAATTTGTTCAGCTAGGACAAATAATGAGTTCAATTAGGTAATTAAGGGCATACATGAAAAATAAAACAGAATCCCTCTGGCCCTTTTGAATCAGAGTTGTGCATAAATGCGTTAGGGCAGTGGTTCTCAAACTTTTTGGACCAAGTACCACCCCTGATCAAACCAAAGCATCCAAGTACCACCTACAAGTCATCTTCTCATAGGAACCCCAGAAATTCTCAATGACTAACATGAGCGCGCGTGTGCGCACACACTCACACACACATATACATATTATAATAATAAACTTTATTTGATATAGCGCCTTTAAAAGTGGCTTCTCAAAGCCCTTTACAGAAAAAACAGGAACAACAACAAATAAAAATAAACAATAAAAAGCACCATTTCAGTGAGAGGGGTGAGCCTTTAGTCGAGCAAAGCAGATGTGAATTCATTTTTTGAGCCTTGATTCACAACAGAGTCTAACAGATTTTAAGTCATCAGGCATTTTCTTGACAGCAAAGGTTTCGCGGTGGATGTTGCAATGCGCCCATTCGTTTCTGCAGCAACATTTCTAATTCGTGCAACTACACCACTGTGTCGGCTTGTCATTGCTCTAGCACTGTCTTTACAAACTCCGACGCATTTTATCCAGTCGATGCCATTCTATTCTATAAATTCATTCAGAAGCTGAAATATGTGCTCTCCTGTAGTTCCTGTTAGAAGCGGTTTACAGAACAGAAAGTCCTCATGGGACGTACCCTCAAACTCGTATCTAAAGTAAACGAGCAAACTGGCAAAATCGACTACAGACTCATCTTATTGCAGTGAAAAACATCTGCTCATCTTAACACGCTCTACCAGCATACTTTTGATATCATCCGCCATATCAATAATTCTATGAGTGACTGTGTCTTTCAGAGGGGGCAGCAGGTTGAGCTGTTAAGCAACTTTTTCTCCACACATAATATATGTCAGCTCTTTTCCCAACGGTAAATAAAGTTCTTCAAAAATAGTGTGGGGCTTACCTGCTTTAGCAAGCTTGCATTTTTCCCTGTTTCCATTTGGGGAGTCGGTCTCACAAGTTAAAAGAAGTTTTTATTTCATGTGCATGGGAGCAAAACACAGAGACGCTCGGTGTATTTTTCTCAAATTAACGTAGAACAGTTCTTAAATATTTTTCTGTTATCTATCACGCTTTCCTGTGCTCACAAGATTACCAGCGTTCCTAACAAACATTTCTATGCATTTCTGTATTTCTATGCATTTACAACATTGGCATTGTTCCAAAATCACGCACATTCTCCTACCTTTCTATTTGCTGGAGATATTTGCTGGAGATAAGTTTTTTTTAATACAATTGGTCACTTACGTTCGTAGCACTTATAGAATTACATTGTAGCTCTGTGTCCACTCAAGTATTAGCGTCCGCTGTATCGTAGGACGTAGACTGCGTATTCGACACGTCTTAAAATAGAAAATATGAAAACCCGTCCCGATTTTTCAGCGCACACAACAAAGTTCCAGGGTCATATGGCATATCAGCTGGCGGTGGAGTGGTACGCGTACCAAAGTTTGAGAACCACTGCATTGGGGCAATAGGGTTACTGCCCAGAGACAGGATTTAACATGAGAAGCATTTTGCAGTCACAAGTTTTATAAGATTTTGAATATGGGTTATTGAATTCTCTGCTGTCCAATATAAAGTAACGACCAGCCATCATTTGTAATGCTCCTGAAATGTAGAATGGCTTGTTAGGGCCTGTCAGTGCCACATTTTGCAAGGCAGATGTAGATTGTTGATTTGGTTTACTTGGCAGCAGCTCCTGAACTAAGATTAAATAGACCACACAGCAAAGTTCCAGTCAGTACCTATGGTAAGTTTACATTAGAAACAAAACACCAAGTGGGCAGGCATCCTAATTCTGTCTCCATTAAAATTTTAAGCACCCGTGAACAGAAGCCAAAATTGCTTTCTATCCCAGTTCTTCTTTTTATTATTTTTTGTGAAACCTGTATATCTCATTTAAACCTATGGTTGATGTATTTATTTATTGTGGCACACTGAATATCAGTGATCCCCTTGAAATAATGAAAAAAAAGATAATTTCAAAGTAAAGTCTCTTTGGCCCCCTTTAAACAAATCATCCAGTATCTGGAGAGAATTTCAAATCCCTTCCTTATCCTCCCTTTGCCCCTTTGTTTGCTTTTATTAGCTTATCTCTAATACAGTGTGGTCCACAGACTATGTCAGCTTCAGCTCAGTGTAATGCATGGGAATGGAAAGACATTTTAAAGGAAGAGATATCCCTTTGTCACAAGTGAATTATACTGGGGTCAATGGTAATATTTATAATAGACAGTATGCCAATACCTGATTTAAATGTATGTCCATGTTTTCTCATGTGCAAGTATTACATGAATGGAAACTGCAAAGAGGATGGAAACCATCCAGTTGGTTTCATTAAACACACACAGGCTTGTAAAGTCACACTACTATGATGGAACTAGTGGTGTGATCCTGGAGCATAAAGAGAGCCAAAATTCTGGGTGAGGGGCACCAGAGTCTGGGGAACTGCAGGCAGGGACCCCAGAGCTGCACAATTACAGGAACCGGGCTAATAAAGGAGAGCACACACTGGAAATGAGTAGCAGGTTGCTTGCTGAAAAGCCAGCTGAGTGAATCAAGCAGGCAGGCAAATGTGGTGCTCTGGCTAGCTTTAGACTCAGAGGTATGTGCAGAGCTGAGTGTACAGAGCAGAAAACACAGTACTAGTACGTAGTCAGGCAGGTGAAGGTCAAAGGTCGGGAAACTCGATAGACCAGTCTGTAGCAGGTGCAAAACCAGGAGACAATGTCTCAAAGGTAAGGAGTGTTCAAAACCGAATCAATCATAGAGAAAAAGCCAAGGGAGAATCTGGGAATAGGGTCTGAAAACAAGGCTGAGGTCAGGAATACAAGAAAAGCATCGCTAGGGAAACAGGAACAAAAAAAGGACAAAGCTAGGGAAAACAAGGTACAATATTCTGAGGGCTCAGATACAAATCTAAAAACGAGCCCTGAACTCTGTCAGGTCAAAGTATTTATGTTGAAAAACACCTGGAATGGGCTGGGTCGAAAACCATCTCCAAGTGCTCCAAGTCTTGCGATTGGTTTCCAGCCCAGGGAGAAGGGTTGATGGTGAAGTAACCGGCTGTTGTGCCGCAGCTAGCTCTCATGGAATTTCTCCTGGTTTATTATAACGTTTTTGTAGTTTAAGATGTACAATCACTACAGTTTATGATGATTAAATGCTGACTATATTGTAATGTTTATTAAACATTGGCTTATGCATAGCAATGTCCAAAACATGCAATGGCTCAAAACCCTGATGTAATATGCAGTACACTGAACTCTTCTGAGCATTTATAAATTAGTATAAATTATTGAATCCTTCCCCTTGAAAGATATTGGAAGGAAGGAAGTTGGCAACTTTAATGGCATTATACAGTATTTCTTCAGACAACTACAGTATATGAACTAAAGTGTCCAACTAGTGTTGATCTAAGAGTCCAACTGCAATTCTTTCAAAAGCTGGACCTCCGCCATACTCAACCTTCTGAAAATATTAGGAATCACCAATCAACAGATATACAATGAGCGACAGACAGTACATAGCTGGCTAAGCTACAGTACAATGCCCTGGCTAAATAAATACTAGATCTCAATGCTATTAAAACCTGGTGGAACACCCAGGGATTAAGTGTACTGAAATGATTATGGAGTGTTTAATGAAAATTTGGCTTAACTTTTTGGCTATGGGCTGACCTCCTGGCCATAGGACGAGGAGGCCAGGACCCCCATGCAGAGTGAGGAGTGACCAAGCGGCAGCTGCAGAGGTGCAGATGGGGTGGAGGTGGAATGCAAAAGACGTATGTGAGGGAGAGAAGGGAACATGTACGGTATTTATGGTATTTTAGCAGAGGAAATTATGTCAAGAGTGATTGCAAATTACTGAAAGCTGAGCCTGATTGAACTTGGTCATTGTCATCCCTCCCAAACGTTTGTTACAAACTCCATATAAAGATGGGCACAGGGCACAGTAGTTAGCATTGCTGCTTCACAGCTCTGGGTTCAATTCCAGACCATGGGTGCTATCTGAGTGAACATGGTCTCCCCACGTTCCTCTGGGTACTCCGGTTTCCTCCCATAGTCTAGACTAGAGGCATACTGGTATGCTATTTGGCTTCTGGGAATACTGACCCTGGTGTGAGTGTGTACTTGTCTGTGTTTTTGTCTGTGTCTCTGTCCTGTGACAGACTGGCGTCCCCTCCAAGATGTGTCCCACCTTGAGCCCATTGCTTGCTGGGATAGGTTCTGGCTCCCCTGCAATACCATACTGAATAAAGCAGAGTAGAAAATAGATGGAAGGATATATAAAGAAGGGAGCTGGGGCAGTTTAAATGCTGTGCTGAATCTGTCTTTGCAGTGGTGTAAAGCTGGAGAGTGCATCAGCAAAGCTCCCGTCCCCGAGTCCGTACACAGCGAGTGGAGCTCCTGGGGGTCATGGGGAGCCTGCAGCCAAACCTGCAGCACTGGGATCAGTGTCCGGCAGCGCAAGTGTGACAACCCCCGGTAGGCATTGCTCCAGTCTCTTCTTATTTTATTCAACTTTTAATCTACAAAGTCTCATATAGGATCAAGGGTTCGTTAGTCCTTTTCTAAGAAAATAAAGTGAAGGGGAAAGGCATGTATGTGCTACTTTAACACGTAAAAAAAGGACTGCCTGCTTTACTGTACATTTAGATGAGGTTTCACAACTTGTTAGGTTTAAGCTTCAAAATCTTTTATGTGTTTATCACAGGGAATGATAATGCACACAATAAAAATCTTCCACTTAGATGAAAGATGGGCAAGCCCAGGTCTTGAGGACTTCTGCTTCAGCTTTAAATGACTTCATTAGATAAACTGTTTGGATCAGAGATTGCAGAGCCTGTTTTTTTTTCAGATCTGTTGCTTATTAAAAAGCACCTGTACAGTAACCATCAAGGAGGAATTGCCCATCCATGCTTTACAGACTACAACATTTTTAAATGATGGAAATTCAATGCTAATACCTCTTAGCATAGGTCATTTCCCTTCTGGAGTGTGAAATAGGTAAAAAATTATAAAACAGTTAAAGCTGATTTAAAATGTATATTAGTGACATAAACCTACACATTGCTGTGTAAGTACATGAAGATTGTGTTTTCTGTTTCTGCAGAATTGGTGCTAAGGGGAAGGACTGTCCTGGTCCCAGAACTCAGTATAAAGTGTGCGAAAACATGCCATGCCCTGCAGGTGTGCCAAGCTTCAGGGATTTGCAGTGTCAGACTTTCAACAGACTTTCCTCACAGAAGCACTCTGTCCCATGGTTCTCTGTAACAGATGATGGTAAATAGGATTGCTTTACTATGGAATATATATTACGTAGTAATATTTCAGATATTAATGGACATTTCATTACAATTAAACAAAGCTGTAATTATAAGTCAGGAAAGTAACAATGGCAGACCTACCATCTATTAATTATTGAAACATTAAAATGTCTATTCATTGAATAGCATATACAGTATACAGTATATAGATGTTGTTTATGTTGACATCTGACATTCAGGATTTAATGAAATATAACAAATTTAGTCACAAGTACATGGTAATGCAGTGCTTTAATTAATCTCTTTTACCATAAGATACCTTTAGAATTGGTTTAATCAAAATGCAAACATATTTTTACTTCATTTAGAATTTGCTGCAGTTGCCAAAGCTAAAATAAATTTGAAAATCTAAATGATCAGATCTGTTTAATCACAATATCATTACCACAGCCATATATACAGCTTAAATACTGCTTGAACCAGTACAGTGTAAATGGCCTTTCAGAAATGACTGCTGTTTATCTGGAAGTTCTTTAATGTGGAAGATGTTAGACATGGCACAAAGTAATCTTGTGAGATTACATCACCGTGAAGACTGTCTGCCTGGTAGAACACAAAGATCCTTTCATTTTGATCCTCTTTATTCTCCGTAAGGCCTGGGAAGCACTCCACAGACTGGCTCTGACAAAGAACAGAATCTTTTGTTTTCTTTGGAAGAACTTAGCTCTGGTCAAAGTATATCTTTCAATGCACAAAATAAATGTATTATTAACTTGTAAACAAAGTGATAGATTTTTGTATATTTTAAAAGGAAACAATCCATTCTGCATTTAAGAATTAACGTTAATGTACAGAACTGTGGTAATATTTTCTTTCTGTTAGTTTTTGTTATTGCTATTCAGCACAGGTCCAACACTGATGAGAGGCACACAATCTAAGCAAAATTGCTACTGACAGTCAATGATCTGTTAACTTAAAATTAAATAAACACATAGTGCCTTTTAAGTTGACATGTTTCTGTTTAGTTAGTAGTTACTGTATGTAGAACTTTTATCAAACATTTTAAACATTTCCTCTTAACAGCATCTGATTCACTGTTCATAAATGAAGTAATATGAACATTTTTGTCCTGCAATAGTTTCAGGAATGTAAGTTTTTTGCTTCCCAGATTTATCTTTTAGAAAAAAACAGTTTCAAGGAATCATTCTTTAATACAAATTGTAGAACACAAACTTAAGAACATAAGAGCAGATTCAAATTAGAGGATGCCTCTGTGTATCTTCTTGGTTTTCACTGTGTATCTACTTGAGTCTCCTGGTTCACTGAGGTCAGTATTTTTGACGATTTTGAAATCCTCTTTGACGATGTTAAATCAGGTCCCTTAAGAACACAGTCGTCTCTGTTCAAGACTAAAAAAAATTGTGTTCTTTTAGTCTGAATGTAGGACATTCTTTAAGCCTTATAGTGTATGTGGTTACTTTTTTCTGGACTCCTTCCAGAATAGCAATCTTTTTTCTAACATGGTGATCAAAACTACATAATATTCTAAATGAGATCTTGCTACCAAATTGTACTTGCATTCTAACATCCCTCAATTTAAATACTAACCTTTTAACTATATCCATTTGCCATTTTTACGACTTTTCCACAGAAGATATAAATTATTTCTTAAACTCCAAAGTGTTTTTGATGAATAGCATTTTCAATTTCAGCATTTCGAATTTGTGTTTTCAGTTTTATGTTTCTGCTACATGTACAATATGTAGGATTCTGCCCATCTCTACATTAAATATCACCTGCCGCATAATTGCCAGGTTTTATCCCATTTCTTGTTAAGTCTCTATTGTTTTTTCTCATCTTCTTATTTTGAAACGGAAAACTATTGTACAAACTATGCCAGAATCTAGATCCTTGATATACATCGGGAAGAGCAGTAGTCCCAGGACAGATATATTTTCATATAAGATGCTTAATTATGCCTGATTATATTAAGCAGGATCTGGGAGAACTAGCTTGTTATAGGGAAAACATCAGTGCTGACCTGGGACGCTAAGCACTCCTCTGCCAGATCTACAGCGTGTGCAAGCTGTGTGTTTTGATTGTTAATAAAGCTGTTAGAGCAACTCTACTACATGTTGTAATCGTAATTGTCTGATGATGACAGTTCCTTTTTTGGTACAACTTGAACTTGAATTTCCATAATCCAGGTTTATTTGACAACGTTAGTTTTTCATTATACAGTTCATTTTAATACCCAAATACCTTTACAGTAACTGAACCAACAATGCTTCTTCAGGTGATTATTGAAAGACCTGAAATAATATTATTCCAGTACTTTTATTTATGACTATTTTTATTTTAATAAACTTATTATTTTATTAGATTCATTAATACATGTATTTAATAACATATAATTGCATGCACATATTGTTGAGGAATATTTACTTTTATAGTTACTTGGATTTTCTTAGAACAAAAAAACAGCTAAAAGGAGAACAAGAATTCCATCAAATGATTTGTTAACGCTTTCTTGCCACTGTGTTATTTTAGATTGAAAATATAAAAACTAAAAATAAAAAGTATACAAATATTTGATATATCAAGCTGTTTAGGCAGCGTGCATTGCACAGTCTTTGGCAAGGGTACAAGAAAGACCGAAAATGTTTTGGCTTTTAACTCTGAGATTTTTGTGATAGCAAGAACTGGAGTTTGGCTCTTTCCCACATCTAATGGATGCCTTGGATTGAGGTTTTGACCTCAGCCAGTTTTTAGTGCCAAGTCCTGGCATATTGCACAAATCAGACCAATATAATAAACCTGTCTGTTTCTTCGGCATGTGCTTAAGTGTGCAAAGAGCGGGATCAGATGTTTACAGCTTAAGTAAATCACAATGAGCAAATAATGTCAAATAAAAGTTACTTTTCCACACAGCCTTTTTGCAGATACTGTACATTTTTTCATCTTAAACTGCTATCCATGATTGAATTATGATGAAGAAATATTCAAACTTTACTTTTGAATTTGATTTACAACATTTTGATTTTTTGTGAAACTAAGGAGGAGTTACACATGCAGGTGTTTTTACTGTTACAATTTTAGATTCTACATCTTCTTTGTCCACTATAAATTAATTTGACCATTTGTTAGTATATTAGGTATCTATGGAACTGAACCTGGTACAGAATATATTGTCGTCCCATTAAAACACAGATAGTGCACAAAATCCCTTGTCCCAAGACCAGGTATTGTAACATACAGTAGCAGTGTAATGTTTACTGCTGTTTTGGGTGTGGTGCTTTGTGCCTTATGGCTGTAATTGAATCCCAGCAAGGGTATAGAAGAGCTGCACCTGTCATGTTAGCATTATGAACCATAAAGATTAACAACTGGCCCAATTTAGTCCTAAATATGGGCTCAAATTAAGGTATGTATAAAATATTTTTTGTCAACTTGCATCTTTGTATAACTGTAAGTCACACATACAGTATATACAGTGTACTGTATACAGTATTTATTATTTTATTTTGTATCATTTTACCATGTAAGTGTTCCATTAATTGTAAAAACAACTGAATCTGAGCACCTTGTATCCCTTAGGTGAATGAGTTCAGAATTTGATAATTATTCTATGATTATATTTCAATTATTATTCTCTTTATAATGGCCTTGTATTATCTCCTGACATCCAGTTTAGGATGTGTTTGGTTAATTAGAAATATTCCAAGTACTATGGTGAATTGTTCCACCCCTGTTACAGTACAATACTGCCTCGAAGATTATACCCTTTAAACTAGAAGACAGTAAAGTTAATTATATATCTTTTATTATTAACATGCCATCTAATGCATTTCTCAGAGAAGTGACCAGCTACTGTATTGTCAGTGTGTTTCTTGATGAATGGATCCCCATCTTGCTTGGCTATATAATTAATTGGATGAAAATGCAATATCATGCAGATTATTTTACAGATCATATGTACAACTGCCAAAAAATGGAGATTTATTTTTGTATTTATCCCTGCTGATTAGACATGAGCATTTTTTTACGTGATTGCATACGCTTTCTGTTGTTACTGTAGACATTCGTTTCTAAAAAAGTAACTACCACATGTATAATATAGCCCAGACATACTTATTAAAATAGTGCCCTGAAACATATACTGTATTAAGATTAAAGAATTACAGTGCTTATTTTGCTTTACATTTTGTGTTTGCTTTCTACCACGTCCCAAATGTGTTTCTGTTCTTTCTCTCACTTTCTGCTCAGTAAGAATCGCTAATGTTTTACATGCCATTATCCAAGCATAGAGTCAGGAGGAAATTATATATGTAGTCACAAATAGCAAAAGAGTAGAAAAAAACAATTGATAAAGTTTCTTTGTTCTTCCCTGTTAGAGAAACCATGCGCCCTGTTCTGTTCCACATCTGGGAAGGAACAGCCGTTTCTCTTGGCAGAAAAAGTGCTCGATGGAACCTCTTGTGGACCTCAGGAGTCAGGGATCTGTGTTAATGGAACATGTCAGGTAAAGATATAAATTTCTAGTCACAGCTAATCAGTCACACCGATTTATATTTTTAAACCCCATAGTTCGTTCAACTACAGAAATGATACCATCAGTTATAGTCTAATAAAATAATTGAAAATTTCCATTAAATTAAAATCTGCTCTACAAAGATAATGGATCTGTTCATATATAACAACACAGTGTAATTTACTATAATTAATGTAAATAATGATTTTATCTTTTATCTGAGGTAAGATACAATGAAAATGATAAGACAGAACTAAAAACAAATCATATTAAACTCACACTATTTAAACAGTATAAAAAAACATTTAGCACTTAAGAACATAAAGTACATTACTGGAAGCAAAATACTGAATGATCTGTGTAGTAGAGATTTTATATTATAGCAGATAAGGCAAATAAAATGGGTGACTTTAAAAGGTCACAGTTACAAGCTGACATATGGATGGCTTGACATTCCCCTCCATCATTTGCTGATACAATACCACATCTGTGAACCTTTTTTTTAGCACTATACAGTATACAGTGTATTTTGCAAAAAACATTGTCTTCCAACTGAAGAACACTATCCCGACTGTCAACCATGATGGTGGAAGTATTATGGTTTGGGGATGCTTGATTTTGTGTCCAATTATATTACCAGGACTAATGAGTGTATCCATAATCAAAGGTAAAGACACAGTGGGATTCAAAACATGCAGTAATATATCATCTGTATATATCGTAAAGACATTTGTGCTCTAGTCCACCATGTGTCACACCCCAAGTGCTAACATTTTGATAACAAGACTAAAACAAAGAAAGAGGACAACAGTGGACAGCACAAAGAGTAAACAACATTAGTGCACACTGAAGCCAATGAAGTGTTTGAAGAGAAATATTATCCTTTAAACTGAGTTAATTCCAAAGTTTTACTAAATGCTGAAAGATTTTTTGCAAAAAAAAAAGCTTCAGTGTCTAAAGGAAGCAGGAATTTCAGGAACATTGGAAGTGTAGAAATGTTTAATAAAGTACACAGGTTACAAAAAATGACTGAGTTAAAAAAGCATGATCTGATCAGATTTGTAGGTGATGTTCTAGAACCTTTGACAGAATCTTTATATCTGGATTCAAGAGAAAAATGGGAAAATCTGAAACATCACAGCACGTCTTTATTTTTCTTGCACAATACTGCTTGCTGGATTAAGTTCAGGCTTCCACTGCGGTCCTGTACTGGATAAAGCAGTTTAGAAAATGCAAGGATTGTATAATAAAAACTTTGTCTAATTGAAAGCTAGAGGATGAAGTCAATGTGAAGGAGATTCTGTGAGAACTGAACACATAAATCGCAATAACAGAAAAGAAAGCATCTCATAAAATTTGATTGAAAAGCTGTCATAGTCTGCGGATGTACTGCTCTGCATAGCCTTCATTGGCCTTGTTAACAAATTTTTCATAAGATAATGAAAGCGAATTAAAGTGCCAAGTGCATCAAGATAGGTATTGGCTAGCAAATGAAAGTTCCATTACCGTCGGAGTGCTGTCAGAGTGCAATACACTGCTGTGACATTTTCATGAAGCTAGAGAAAGTAATAGTTTGTTGTCTAGAAATTGGTCTGTGAATATAAATAATGAAAAGAAAAAAGAATATTCCCTTGCAGAAAGAAACACAAATTTCCACCGATCCAAAATGCTGCATCAAGAAAGGAAGGAAAGAATAACTTTAACAGATTGAAGAGGCATGTTGATTTACTGTAGTAGCTGAATAGTCCTGCTACGGATCTAAGACACATCCAGACTTTTACCCCATTTCAGCTGGTGTGTATGATATTCAGAGCCTTCCTTTTATTTTTTTAATGATTTAATTTTAGTCAAATACATAAAGGTTGTGCATAGAAGGATATGTTCCACAAAAACGTTAACATTAGTACAGGAAGTGTGTTGATTATTAGCCTCTCCTCTTCAATTTAAATTTGCTGGAAGGCTAAAATTTGGGGAAAAAAAGTGAAATTACCATGTAAGTTAATTACCATGTAAGATTAAAGAAATGTGTGTCCACATCACAATGCCAGACAGCACCACCAATGTATTGTATTTTACCTATGTTTGATACCTCATGGTTATAAGCACTATCTAACAGTGCTTAAAACTGTGATGCGATATTTTAAGACACAGAAAACTTTAGATTCTATATCTGTACTACTAGATTTTGGGATAGTTTCAACAAAAGGTCAATGAAAAGACTGTTTAATAATAATTAATTCTAATTACACTTAAGACTTGTAAAACTTGAGAATCAGTCATAACTAAGAGAAGCACATACAGTATGCTGTAAGCAATATATCTCGAGTGAAAGAATGTGCTATTACAGTTCATTTTTTATTACAGATATATATTTCATCCATTTTCAATGATTCAATATTTTTGAACTATTGTCTGGTAAAATGCAAATTATCATCATAATTTGCTTTATCAAAGAGAGAAAAGAAAGAATTGTTTTAAAAAAATACAATGTGCCAATGAAATAAATTTTACAAGTGAATTGTAAATGCTTAAGTGCAGAAGACCTCAAAGGATTTCTTGGAAAGGATTTACAGCTGCTATTTTTTATTATGTGTCAGGAGTATGCAATGACATTAATGACATAGCTTTCCAAGAATTAGCTCATAATGTGAGGGCCGACCATTGGTCAGACATTGGCAGAAAAAATGAGATATCCTACAGATAATAGCTTTATACTTTATTTGCTATGCTTGACAGTGTACAAAAACATTTCCTCTTAAAGACATTAGTGTTTTCCATTACCTTACAAAATACTTTTTGTCCCCAGTTTTTAGAGTAAAATTAATTTATTAGAAACAAGTTTGCTTTAAATTTAGGACCCAGAGGTTTCACTCAATAGTCAACCTCCCTCTCCTCTTCACTGGTTTCCTCCCTGTTGCTTATTCTGTACATGAAGATGGAGCCTGGAAACAGTTGGAGCTCTTGCAATGGAGATCTAAATGTAAGAACATTTGTTACAATTCAGCAAGGCGCAGCAGACTGGGCGGAGAAGTACAGGCAGAATCTGCACACTTGTGCTGCAGGCATCTGTGGAGGGTTAGTGCCCGGAACCCAAACATATGAGCTCATGGGTCTTTGGGCATTTTCACTGTATTGAAGGAAAGACTCAGGCAGAGCTCGGCGGGGGCAGCCGAAAGTTCTGCAAGGGGGCCAAAGGCTGAGTCCTAGAAAAGGAAAGGTGACTTCGAACAGGGGCGGCAGAAAAAAAAAATGCTTGGAAGCTTAGTCTTCATCAGGACCCAGAGGTGAAGCAGCTACCCGAACCTCAAGTGAGGTTTGTCAGGTTTGCTGGTGGTGGTCACACTGATGCGCAGGGAACTGATCCTCTGTAGAGGTCTCAATGTCAGAGTGCTTCCACCTCAATGTTGAGAAAGGAGGAGAAACTTCCAGAGAGGGAATAAATACTGAATTGTTAATTGGACAATTGGGCACTCCTTGGTAGGAAAAGGGCTGGACAGAAAAGTGCCTGGCCTGACTCCTCAGCTCCATGGGAAAATACTGTGAGAAACTATCTCTACTGCGGACCTCCTGAGTGGCTCAACTGCTAAAGGGACCTGCCTGAGCACAGGTTGAGCTCTGTGATGACATGTTCACAGGTTCCTCCTCCCCCTCTGAGTAGTACATAGGGTAGGGTTGATTAGACAGTCAATAACACAGTGACACCAGCAACCTGGATGCCTGCAGGCAGGAAGTGCTGTCAGAGACTTGAGAAGATTTGAAAAACACACCATTGGGTAAATCAGAACTAATTGGTGATTCTAAACTTAGGAAAATATACCTAGCAAAATCTAGTGTGAGTTTATGCATTAAGTGGTAAAAATCAAATTAACATGATCTTTGTGTTCCAGTATTTCATGCATTTTAACTACAGTAGATATTTGATATCTTACATATGGTTAAAATAATACAAAAATTATAATTGTAAACTCTATAGTTATATATCATAGCTGCGTGTGAAGAGAATGAAATAAATACTTGATCACCCCTTATTCAACATTGAACTCTGTATAAATATATTTATATGAAGCCAAGCAGACCTGAATGCCTGTAAATCATAAGACTAGCAAGCATCTTTTAAGCCTTTGGCCATCCTATGTTATTTTTATAGACCCCTTAGGGATCCGAATGTGCACTTTATTTCAACAGTTTGGTTTTCCCTTCAGTTCAGAAGAACATTTCAGAAAAAAAAATGTTAGTCAGGAAATATATGGTTTCCAATTAATTGAAACCAAGGGAAAAAATGACATTGTTTCAATTCTGATTAGAGCATTTGAGAGGAAAAAGGAGTGATGCAATTAGAATGCAAACTTGTTTCCTTACTTTCAGCTGCTTTGTTGGACAGTGGTTTGTCTAGGATTTATGCACATGCATTACTTGCTAGCCCATCTGCAGTATCCTTGCACTGGCACATAACAGCCTTAAGGAATCCAGCTCCAGGGCCAACAATATTCTATTGAGTCCTGGGATTAGGCAAGTTCTCCGGGTGATGCAGCTGAGTTTCTATCGCTGAATCATGTATTGAAAAAAGAAGAGGAGATAATGAATTGAACCTAAGAGATTTCAAAAATGTGTTTTTTGGTACTATATAAGTTAGTTAGTTACTTTGTATGTGGAATGGAGTTTCAGGATTCATTCTTAGATTCATTCAAGAAGCTGTTTTCTGGGCAGTTATGGTTGAATTAGAAGGTTAATCTATCATTATAGATTGTTTCACAGCTCTTTTATAGGTGTTATTTCTCAGATGTTCTTAATTCAATTTTACACTCAGCATACAGAGATGCAAAAGTGATGGCTAGCAATATACATTATCCCTCCACTCAGATAAAGTCTTGCACATTTTCTATCACAATGTGGTGAGCCAAAAACAGATTGCAATCAACAGTTGTTACTGTGTCAGTGTCACCAACCAATACTTTGTAAAGTATATTAAGTGTTGGATGACTGTAGCTAATCATTAGTGAGATGATTTTAGTTAGTCTCTGAGCAAATGATTTCACTAGCAATGGATCCAAAGTTGTTCCTGAAAGCAGGTACTCTCTAGTCAACACTAGAACAACTATCTTGTGAGTTTCCAGCCTTATAAAGGCATAAAGCTTTATATTCTGGGACTCACAGATGTAGTTTTTTTTAATATATTTGGTGTCTTGTGGAGTAAGATCAATGGCACTTAACAGCAATTATTTCCCACGTCTGAATTTTTTTTTATTAATAATGCCATTGATTAAAGTATTTTCTAAACACTTGCTGTTGAGTTGCATATAGCAAAAAATCCTTTTTTTGGTTATTATATGCAATAAAAACTGTATATTGTATGCAAGACACTGAAAAATAACAGAATGCCTTGCAAAAGTATTCAAGCCCTTGCTGATTTCATATTTTGTAGAGCTTGTAGTCATGTCAGCAGACACTTTGAAGTAGCTATTAATATTTGTTATACACACATATTCAAAACAATCAAAATAATTGTGAATTAATACAAAAGAAAAACGGATTGCCTCGATTGCATACAGTAAGTATTCAACTGATTTGTTGTGGCAAACCTAAATTAAATTAGGCCCAAAAAATGACCTTAACAAAAAACACAATTAGCTGATTGAACTGTATGTGTAATTGAATTATTTCAGCATAAGTAACATGTAAAGTATATCTATGTTTGGAAATATACAGTATACTGTGTATAGTGCAACCATATTCAGTATATTCATACAGTAACTACACCAAATTAAACTGCATACATTCAGATTTTATGGTTCAATCAAACCATTACTGTGATTTTTATGATTCAGGTATTATATTCTCTTATACACACTGTATAGCCAACTTAAATAACCTGCTGAGGATAAAACTTTATTGTTGCTGCAGAAAGTGGGCTGTGATGGCGTAGTAGGATCCTTGGCCAGGGAGGACCACTGTGGAGTGTGCAACGGAAATGGAAAGTCATGCAAAGTTATTAAAGGAGACTTCAACCATACTAGGGGGGCAGGTAGAGTAAATGCTTGCTGTATTTACTTTTATTTTACATACCACTTGCAAACTAAAAAAAATAATAACCAAGGATGGGAACTTGTTATCAAAGCTACTTTTGTATTTCTTGCAAATAGAGAAAAGGACTATCCCTGTACTTTACATGATTTTTTTACATCACTCAGATGTATATACTAGAGAGAGAACAAAAAAACAATACAACTTTATATACAGCTTTACATAAATATAACTTTGACTTATTGCAAACATATTATTCTACATAACATATATTTACACATCTTCATGTATATCACCTGATGTCCATCATGATGTGGGAAAATTCCATCGACATCAGCTGATAAATCTCTGTAGATGATGTGTTCAGTACCTTGTTTTGTATTGAACCCTGAATCTTGTTTCCTTAAGGTATTTTTTATCCACCACCCATGGCCTGCAAGCCTCTGAAGCTCCGAGTTGGCATGCCTGCAGCACACACACCAACACTTTTGCCTCTTGTGAGGCCATTTTCAGGGTATCAGTTTTCTTTCAGAACACCACTCTGAGGAAAAAGCCCTGGTATTTTACTTTCCCCAGGAATAAATGAACATACCACAAACCAGACCTTTCCTTGGCCTTCTACAGAAGGGGTCACTCCTGGGGAAAATACTTCTCTGTATTATTTTAGAAGAGTTGTGTGTACATGCATACAGTATGCATTTTACTTTAACTGTGGATAAATTAATCCCTAGCACAGTTTATTAAAGGGATTTACAGTACCAAGAGCATACACATTGATATACACAGTATTGACATTTACTATATTGTGCCTGTGCAGGTAAAACAAAACAACAGTAACAACATTTTTTGTCACTCATACAGAATTACACAGAAAACCATTAACTAGCTGACTATGTCAAAAATATTTTTCACAAAGTAGCAGGTCCCATTTATGTCACAACTAAAACAGCAAGTAATTAACAGAAGGTTGAGTGAGGCAAACTCATTATGTGTCCAAGTGATAAAGTCCATTTAAAATACAAAAATGAGCTTGGTGGCATACACCAATATGCAACACAGCTAGAAATAAACGTACAGTTAAACCTCAGTTTAATGACCTAATAGGGGGAAAGTGTTCCGTTACTGCCTAAAGTCCATTAAATAACAAATGATATTTCTTCTGCACAAAAACACACTGTTATATGAGAAAGCATCTACTGGATATTTTGACAGTCAATGAAAATTCTTCCTGTACTTTTTTTCTCATGAATATATAAGCTCTTTTTATTCAGTGTATCATAAATACGGTGTAGAAAGTTGACCAAAGTATATGACAAATATCCTTTGTAACGAATTGAACTACTACTATAGAGCACCAATATTCCTGAATTTCTAAACAATGTAATTATCATTTTTACTCTCTTTTATTATTTGTACATTACAACATGGGGCGGGGGGGTACAGGAATTCTGATTTTAGAAACATATGCCATATTTTGTCTGTTAAATCTGAAGTCTTTTAAAGCAAATTCTGTTAAACTGAGGGTTTACTGTACTCAAAATGTAAAGAAATGAAACACTAATACGCAGAATGAATGCATTGTGTACAAGATTAAACAGTTTTGTTACTCTACAGGTTACATCGAAGCTGTAGTGATTCCTGCAGGGGCAAGAAGAATCAGAGTTGTTGAAGAAAAGCCTGCACACAGCTATTTGGGTAATAAAGACAGTCATCAAGTAATTTGTAACTAAAGTCAATTTTAAATGATTTATAGTAATGATTCTGTTACTATTATACTATGTAGCATATAAAAGCAGGTAAAAGCAAAAACAGAAATACCTGTGTAGATGAAAGTAATGTGTGGTTAGATAAATTTACACACTTTCAACATTTTAAAACTGCTATAGGGTGGCATGTTGGGGCAGTGGTTAGCATTGCTGCCTTGCGGCACTCAGACCCTGGGGTCAATTCTGACCCTGAGGTGCTACTGTACTGTATATGTGTGGGGTTTACATGTGCTCTCCATGTTCATGTGGATTTTCAGCAGGTATTCCCAGTCCAAAGACATACTACAGTATGTCTCTCTGCCCTGTGATGGACTGGTGTCTCATCCAGTGTGTAACCTGCCTTATTCCTGTTGCTTGCTGGGATAGGCTCTGTCTCCCCTGCAAACCCAAAAGAACAATTATTTAGAGTGAAAAGGCATGATTTAAATGGCATAGCATACCATGAACGAAGTCATATACTGTATACTGTTTACTCACATTTTGGTAATCACATACAAAACTTAAAGTAGGCATTTTATGGGTTCCCGATTAAGAGTATATATATATGTATTTATAAATTGTTTAACAGTTTTCTTTAAGCTTTTTTCATTCATAAGGCAAACATGAGTTTTCATTTGAACAGATTCTTATTTTTCTTTGGTGTCCCTGTCTGAATAATACATTATGGGTTATAGGTGTGGTTTACATTTTAAGATCCAGAATTGTACAGTTAATATATTCAGAATGTTGTTTTAAACATTTTATGAGATGTTATCTTTAAGGCCTTTGCTATTGCTGTCAATTTTTTTAAGTTAGAGGAAGACAATAGAGAAAAAGAGAAGTACATGCTCTTCTTACATATTTTAGAAACTTCTCTTTAAACATATGTACAGTAAATGAGATATTAAACCATTTTGTCTTCTGATTTGTAGCTTTTGATTTAGTTACTCTTGAGATTAATATATTCTGTGGTTCTAGCAAAAAAAAAAATTAACTGCTGCCTTTAGTTTTCTATTGATTTTGTGTCAGTCTTATTCTGCTTATGTTCTGTCTCATTCCCTTGTGGTCCGCTTTCCTAAAATTGTGTCACATTGTTTTGGACTGCCTATAGAGGTTCAAGTGCATATTATGTTAAGAGTTGTCTGATGGTTGTCTCACCTCTGTTTTACTCGTTAAGCAGTAGACGAATACAAACATTCCTCCTAGCATGTGTTCTGACAACAAGAACACAGTAAATCGTATAAGTAAACAATAGTTAGATGTAACTTTTCAACTACATACCTACTTGTTTTCTCAGAGAGTTTGAGGACAATTAAACCTTCTCACAATAGCCACCTCTTCCTTTACACACCCATCCATTCATATATAAGACTGTATTATAATGAATAGGTGAATTGGGTGGTCCATAGCATACTATGCTGTTTTTGATGTACTACTGTGTAGAGTGTGCACCTCCACCTTTTCCACCTTTCCGGTCCTGTTGGAATGTTCAAGTAGGTAGCTGCGTCAGCATGCGTAGGCTGGAAAGGAACAAGTAATGGTGTTTTCCATGCTGAAAAGAAAAGAAACACAACGTTTTGTCCGTGGAGCCTTCTTTGGGTGGCTCAGAATGTTGGACTGTTGGAATGTTGTGGATCAGCTAAAGCTACATTGGACTAATCACCTTCTGGGATGTTTTAGGGATGTCTCCCCTGACATAGCCAGGGCCCTCTGCCTCTGCCATACTGTGTTTTCTAACATTCTGAGTATTTCTTGGAGACATTTTCTAAAGCAAATGTCTTTCATGGAGAACATAATCATCTCTGTCTCTAGACATATTGTTTTAGGAAAACTAAATGTGCTCTTATCAAATAATGTGTGTACCAAAAGCCAGTATTCCATGTGGTTCTCATTTTACAGAAGGGGCCATAATATGTGTCAGCTGACAGCTACCAGTAAAATTACATCTGCCAAAAGGCCCTCTTTTATGTAGCTAGATGAATCGTCCAGAATGACTCACATCAATCACAAGGCCTTTACTCTTTAACACAGCTTACCCACAGTCAGACAGCTTCGCACTGGGCATAGGAGGATCCCTTCTGATCCGGGTGCTTTTTGGAATGAAGATACAGAAAATTACTTTCATAAGCATGAAAGAAAGTTCTGCCTATCTTATATTTAATGGGGCACTCTCTATAAGTCAATTTAAATAAAATATGTGGGTAATTCTCTGAAATTAAATCATGTCCCGTCCCACGCACTTCTTATCTTTTTTTTATACATTTTAAGACATTCATTTTTATTCTCCTGGCAATTGTAGTGGGCAGCACGGTGGCACAGTGGTAACATGGCTGCCTTGCAGCACTGGGGGCTTGGGGTGCCATCTCTCTGGAGTGCCATCTGCCATCTGTTTGTACTATATTCTCCCTGTTTTCACTTGGATTTCCTCTGGGCACTCTGGTGTCCTCCCGCAGTCCAAAAACATACTGATTGGTTAAATAGCTTCTGGGAAAATTGCCCCTAAGTGTGAGTGTGTCTGTGTGTGTCTCCTCTGAGATGGACTGGTGTCCCATCCTTGCATCCTTGTGTAGTCGCTCCCCTGCAACTCTGAATTAGAAGAAATGGCTAGAAAATAGATACATTAATGGTAATTGCAGCAATTTGTATACTATAACCAAAACAAAAAAAATATTGAATTTGAAAGGACAACACACCGATTCAATCATCATTGAATTGTATAACATAATTGTCATTTTTAATTAGAAAATGTATTTAGTATTTCTTAACTGTTTCCTTTTTGTGTTACATTTGAAAATCTGGGTTAATATGTTGTTCTGTTCTTTATTTTCTATTACTGGTAATAACCCTTGCTATTAACAGGTCCACATTTTAAGAATCACTCAGCTTGAAAAAACGTTTCTCATTGCAGCTCTCCGAGATGCCAGCAAACATTCCATCAACAGTGACTGGAAGATCGAGCATCCAGGTTCATTCAACATAGCTGGTACTACAGTTCATTATGTCAGAAGAGGACTGTGGGAAAAAATCTCTGCAAAAGGCCCCACTACTTCCCCTCTGCACCTTTTGGTAAGAAGGAAGCAGACAAGGTTTCTCTGGCATACAATTCTCATCCTATCTACTAAATACTCTCACTTCATTACAATAATTTGTTATTTGGTTAATTGTAGACAGTGATTAAAAACAACAGAATAACAGTTAAACATCACAGAAACCACCAATCAGGTTTGAATCTTGAGTTTGTTTTAAATAAATAAGATCCTTCAATAAGCTAAATTCTTACATAAAAAAATCAATTTATATATGTTAATTACAATTAAGGTACAGGTGTGTTCTTTTTAAAGACACTCCATTATGCCAAAATATATGTAGAAAAAAATGTCAATAATTGCATGACCCTCACTACTACAGTAGATATCATCTTAAACCACCTACACCTGAATTTTGTCTTAATACCCTATCTCTCCCAAGTGTAAGGTTTTTGTTTTCTTAAATCGGGGAAATTTAAACAGCCTACATGCTCTTTGAATGGACAGTCCCATCTATTACAGCAGCATCCTTTTAATTTGATGTATTTCCGAATGATCAGTATCACTTACCAATCTTCTTAATGAGAACAAATTGAAAGAAGTCTGGTCACCCAGTTAAAGAATATTATTTGGTTATGCTGGGTACGCTTAATGAATGCATTTGCTTATTTTCCATTTGATTGTTTTTTTTGTAATAAAAAACAATTGTTTATTGCAATATAATATTCACACAACCATTAACATTAAAAACAGATGGTGCAACCAATAATCAGCTTTTACCTATCTGTGCCTATCTGTATTTTTAACAATCAATCTTTTCCCTTTCTCTTGAAAACTTCAAAGCATGTACTGTACGTATTTCTTGCTATTGTTATTGTTTTTAATCTGTTTAAGATGAACTCAGATTAAGGGTAAGGTCTCAAACATAACCCCAAACAATCTCAAACATTTTTATAGTTTCCTTCAACATAGAAAGCCATTCATGTTTTAGAAATTGGGCAATTTCCTTTAAGTAAAAAAAATTTCCCTTCCTGTAAGGAATGCGCTTTAGCTGTCAGGTGAGCTTGTGATTTAGAACACGGCTACAGGGCGCTTTCACTTCATTTTGTATCCAAGCCTGAAAACCTGGCCTAAGTATGATGGTGCAGGAAGTAAGTCACAATGTCAGAGCTCTTTATAGCTTAAACACACTGCCTGCAACACCCTGGTTTTATTGTGTTCCTTGGTTCCAGGTGCTTCTTTTCAATGAACAGAACTATGGCATCCATTACGAGTACACCATCCCCATGGAGCCCGTCCCTGAGAACCACAGCACCAAGACCAACGAGCCTCTCTTCATGTGGACACACTCAGGCTGGGAAGACTGCCACGTGGTGTGTGGTGGAGGTAGGAGGGGACCTTCCCTGTGACTCGAAAGACGGTGTACACTATAATGATGAGGGCACATTCTCATGCTTTGTCAATTAAAATTTGATAAATTCAGTTCACACAGTACATTTTTGTGGCCGGTAAGTCAGCACTTCATCAAAGTGTATCATAAAACAATTTAACATAAAAATATATTATACTTGGTTGCTTCAGTATAAAAGAAATAAATCAGTAACAGGACTAAGATGGTAGTTAATAGCTAGATGAAAAGTTAAAGCAGTATTAGCAGCTTAACAATTTAGCAAAGCTATTCCTGGTAAGAACTGGGATGGGAGATGTCAAAACTAGGTTGCTGCTGAAAGTGGAGAAGGAGGTGACACTCTTCCTTTGGGATCAAAATTTGGTAACTATTTACCGAGTATGGTGATAGTGAAAGGCGTGCCTGAGCAATTCCTTCCCTTGGATGAGATAATAATAATAATAATAATAATAATAATAATAATACTTGCTTACACTTATATAGCGCTTTTCTGGACAATCCACTCAAAGCGCTTGTTACAGGAAGGTTCATACCCAAAGATCCTGTGACAAGATGTTAAACCCAGTGTCCTGGCTGAATTACACTTGAGCTTGCACAAGCAGTCCCCCATAAACATTCCCTTTAAATGCAGTTGCTTAAGTGATTCCCCATTTCCTTATGATCTGCTGTGTAGTAGGGCTGCTGGCACCTAACCAGAGATACTGCTGCACTGTAGGAGTGGAGGAAGTACCACCCAACCCCTGGATGAAATGATCTGGGATTCTTTGGAATGACACTACAGAAATATAATATATTTTTATTAGGATAATTATGACTATTATGTGATATCAACTGGATTTTAGTTAAACCACTAACTCTTGACAAATGAAAGGTTGTCTCATTATCTGAAATACATTACTATATTGCAAAGACAGGAACAGCGCTCTACCTTCTTAAAGGATTAATAGGCTTCTCATTGGATTTTTTCACTCATTGCAGGGGAAAGAAAGACTATAGTGTCCTGCACAAAGATCATGAACAAGACAACAAGCGTGGTTGACAACAGAAAGTGCCGCCACCTGACTAAACCGGAGCCACAAGTACGCAAATGCAATGAGCAGCCCTGCCAGGCAAGGCAAGTTTGTAAAGAACTTCTCTCAGAACTGTTCAGGGCTTAGTGCACAAACAAAGATGTTATTGTTTAGGATTATTGGAAGAAATGCATGCTGTTGAAATATCGAAGATGCCATGCCTGTGTTTTCAGAAGAAGAAAGGTTATTAGCACCAGGGTGCTGGAAAAATACCAAAATCTAGCTTGGCTTCAACCTTTCAACCCCGACTAAACTAAAAAAAAGCATAATTTTCTCCTTTATCTTTATTAACTGTCTGTATCTCTTCACATTTGGTAGCAACATTTGCAAGTCATTGTTGTTCTTCAGAGAATTAAGACTGGTTACTTTGTCAGCAGTTTTAGTTTTAAATGGAAGTTACTAACTGAGCTTTGGGAGGGATAACAATGAGTCTCACACAACTGTACCTAATCACCATCATTACAAAACTAGCTACATATACTGAACTCAAATGCCTCTCCTTGCACTCATTGCAAGCATCCCTCCTCTGGCCCATCCTCTACCTCTTGTCTCAATCTGAATGGGGTTTGAGACTCCTTGTCCCTTGGACAGGAGGCTACCCATTAATCAAGCAGGTTAAGCCAAATGTCTCACCAAGCATTCCAAGCATTCACAAAGCATTCAGATTCTTGGGGGTTATTTTCTGTAGTGAATTAACATTATTTGTCTAATGAAAAACAATATTTTGAATAAAAAACTAGATACATTATTGTGCTTGAAATAATATATTATTTTTGCAATTGGTCAAATGCTGACATCCTGTTCTTCACAAAGCAGTTTTCCCTGGAGGTTGTCCTTGTCTGTTCTTTCTAGACAAAAAAAGATTATGATACAATTCTGTAATTATCTAAGCAATTCTAAGACATAATTAGTACAGTGGTCACAGATTATTCATTACCTTCTAAATAAATTATATGCCAGTATTAAAGAAAACATCCCAGTCACCATGACTATAGAAGTCTGCTTGTTCTATCAACATAAATTACAGTAAGTGAAAAGGTTAGTGTCTCTGGTAAAATAATTGTTCTCCTAAAGCAATAAATGTTATTTACAATCCAAGTAGTAAGATTCAGTGCATGACCTAATTAAACTGTACAGTTTTTGTCCATCTGTTATATTAAAGGAAAATCAATATAGGCTGTATATGTTACATATAATCTTTAGGCTCTCATTTATGCATACTACACAGTGAAATTCCTTTCATATCTTCACCATGGCTCAAATAAACAGCTGCCAAAAATAACATTTTGTTGCTTGAGGCACAAAGTAAAGAGTTAGTAGAAACTGATGATCCTGCACCTGTGAGATGACTTTCTGAGTAATGCTCACCATGTTGTTCAATGGAACAAGACTCCGTTGCCTTAGAAACATGTTGTTTTTACCTCAGGTGGATGATGACAGAATGGACCACTTGCTCAAGGACCTGTGGAAAGGGAACTCAAAGCAGACAGGTGGCCTGCACACAGCAGCTGCACAATGGTGCTCTTGTCAGAGCCAAAGACCGTGACTGTGTTGGCCCCAAGCCTGCTACAACCCAGCGCTGTGAGGGACAGGACTGTATGACAGTATGGGAGGCAGGAGAGTGGTCTGAGGTAATATAAATTTCTTCCACCTGCACAAGTTGCAAATGGTTGCAATACATAAATCTTTTATTAGCTGAAAACTCTTGTAGAGACGTTGTGACATAGTGTGTTTGTGACATTCTGGGGTTTGAGATGCCCTTTCTGGGGGTGGGATTTTCTGGGTGGATACCAGATATTTTTAGAAAGTGAATAATCAAAAACACAAATTAAGCACAGGCATGTAGGTACACTACAGCTCACGAGACTTAAATATTTTAAGATAAACTTAAAAAAGAGTGTAACTTTTCATGTATTATTAATTTTACTGCAAAATTCAAATAAATAATTCTACCTTTCATTCTATAGTCATGATATATCTTAGGTTTAAAGCACAGACCTACTTCACCAATTTTTGAAAAGGTATGCAAGAACATCCAAAGAAGTGTAGGATGCAGTAAAGAACCACTGTCCTAGAGCACTGCCTCTAGTAAATATGAAAAAGAATTGCCCTGAGAGAGAGAGATTTAATCTTAATGGTTATGTAGAGCACAAATCTATACCGTAGAGGCATTACTGTTAGGGATTATGTGATAAGGGTGCTACATTAAAATGCTAAATTCTTAGTCTGGTCCAGTCAGCTTTTGCATTTTGATTTGAAAAGTACGTCTTTACCATTGCCAGCACAGCATCCTTGTCTGGACCTTCCAAAGAGCCCCATTAGAACACGTGATTTAATGCCAGTTTCGCACAAGGTATGCACAGGCCAATAATTCACCTGTGGATGTAAGCAATCTTGAAGGTCTAAACCAAAACAGCTGCCAGGAGTGTCTACTGACACCAAAGGGAAGAAATATTTTTTTCCCCTTTGATCAGCCGGCTGAATTCTTGTCACAGCCATGTGTGTGTGTGTGTGGTTTTTTTTTTCCATGAGACATGTTAGAACAGATGATGGGAATGTAAGGTGACATCTGTGATCTTGTGCAAAATCCTGCCTTCTTTGTAGACTGTAACCACTTGGTGGGGGGGGTTGTGTTTCAGTGCTCTGTGAAGTGTGGCAAGGGGGCTCGTCACCGTTCTGTGAAGTGCACCAACCCCCGCAGGAAGTGTGACTTGTCCACGCGTCCTCGGGAGGTGGAGGATTGTGAGGATTACTCCAAATGTTACCTCTGGAGAGCGGGAGACTGGTCAAAGGTGATATTAATGTACACTGTTATGACTGTGCTTAGCATGTACCTCTACCAACACACTCTCACAATCTTACTTGATGTAAAAGATTTCAGCAGACAGCACATTATAAAAAAAAAACATTACAATTTGTAAAAGATGCCAGTTCAGTTCACAGACTGTAAATATCACACATAGCATATACTGTAAAATGACAAAAGCGTTGTAGTAAGTTCAATGAATGTTTTCACAACTTCTAAATAAACCTACATAGGCCTTCTTTGTTTATTCCATTTCAACGCCTCTGCTTTTTCAGTTATTGGGCTTCACATATGCCTCTTGTCATGCTGTTGATTAAAACCAGCTGTTGATAGGAACTATATCTTCAGAAACAATACAGTATATACCTTTTGAATATTTTAGAATTCACACTTTTTTTTCTTTACCTAGTACCATACTTTGGATATAAATACAGTCAAAGGACCTCAAAAAGTGATACTTTTTATTACACTTTAGTCTAAAAAAGACTTTCTGGAGTGCCACATCAACTGGTATTTATATTGTCTTAAATTACACAAACATCAGCTTGTTACTTTAATATTCTAGCAATTTATTTTATAATACACTAGTATTGAGCTTCCAGCTCATTATCAGCCTGTACTCTGTTATTAATTTCATATAAGTGCTATATAATGAAAATTGATAATCCACAATGGAAACTTTTTTGTGTATGAGGTCTATAAAATTGTTTTTTGTTTTTTGTTGTTTCTCATAGTAGTAATAATTTTTATTATGGAGCTTGCTTTTTTATGACTTCATTTTCTTGCTCTTGTTTGTAAAACATTGGCTTGTTGTTTGTAATGCCTCAGCTTGTAAACTCAGCTGAGTTTAAATTGTTTTCCTTGTTAATTACATGCTGTAGTATTTCATCGCCCTATTCAGCTTCCTAGAAAATCACTCAAGTGTTTTAAGAGAAATGACATTGTGATTATTACTCCAGCGTTCTTAATATTCAGCCTTAGAAAAACCTCAAGAATATTACTGAGAATCATCCTAAGTGTGTTTTGTAATACAAGTGCACAGAGCTGCACCTTTACACTGCTGTGCCTGTTGGGTGACATCAGAAGATTTTATTTGAAAAACCAAGCACTTTATTTTTGCAAAGCTCCATCAAATATCTGACTTTCCTTTTGGTGCTTTGATCTCAACCACAGAAAAATCTTAGCTTGTCAAAAGTCCTCTGAGTTGAGGGCTCTATATTGGATCAGACACTCATCTCTTTTCATTATCTTTATTGAGGAATACATCCAATTTAAGTCTTTGCTCTTTACTGTTTTGTATTTATGTGGTTAAACAAATGACAAATCAAAGACACTTAATTTTGTGTTATTTGGCTATTGCTTATGATCAGTTTGCTCCAAATTATTATTGAACATCAAAGAACTGATTAAAAGCTTTTATAAGTCCACAGAGATGTTGCATGACATAAGATTAATAAGAACATTTAAAGAGGTTACAAACATGAGGACAGCCCATTTAGAGCATTTGGTTGTAATTAGCTAAGAATCTCATTTCTTTGTTTGTTGAAGGATCACAGAGTATACTGTAAGTCACAACAGTGTAGCTGGGTAGATGGTTCAAGGCTCCCACAACCCTTTTGAAAACAATGTGCTCAGTCTCAAATACACTTTTACATAAATTCAATTAAAACCGGTTCACTGCTGATCCAGAGAAAGTGCATTGTTTTTCTTAAGGGTTTTAGTATTCTATTCAAACTACATATCAACTTTTTCTATTCAAAGTTAGAGATTCACTTCCTTTAACCTGTTTGTATAGGGGCATTGCTTTAAACCTGGGAAAATAAACTGTTTTCATTGAAATAATCCCCATTAACATTACTTCCCATTATGCAAATTTGACATTTATAGCTATGTATCCCAACATTTACAGTATTATGTTGCAATTAGTGTTGTTTTGCCCATATCTCTGAGGACGGATCAGAAGTGTGAACAATATTTGCAATTTTCCTGTTGATGGACGTTAACACTGAGTAATGTTACTGTTCATGGTCAACATTCCTTGTGGTACAACTGGGAAAAACATCCTCAGGTTTTCATAGTAAGTTTGCCATTATGGTGAGATTATTCAATAGTGAGTAATATTGTTTCATATCCTAATGCATGTTGATAAATAAATATGTGTAATAATTTAATACATTAGCTATTTCCCTTTAATTGTATTTACTTATGTAAGGATACTTGTATGTATCCTTATACATAAGGATTACTTGTATTCTTATGTCTGTTGAATGCCCTCTGGATACAGTTATGCAAAATCCCAGAAACTATGTGCATTGCATGTGTGTACTTGTATGTATTATGTGTTTAATGAGAAGTAATTATTTCTGCATTTTCCTTTTTTACTCTTCTATTTTATGAGGCTAAAATTATGTTTACTTGTTTTGTTTTGTGTGTTCCGCAATTTGTGTTTAGTGCACATATAGAGGATTTTGAAGTTTCTGCAAACCATGTTTCCCTGGATACCACACTCAGAAATGTTATCAATGTAGATAAACCCCTTTTAACCCCCGAAAAAATAACACAACAATGTTCAGAAAACAAAATAAATGTACCTTAGTTACATCTACTTTAATTTACATTTTGGTAGCTCTGCAAAATATTTAGAAAAAGATTTCTAAAAGGTTTTTTTTCTAAATAGAAAGATCATTTAAAATGTATCACAAAACACCCCCCTAATCTTCTGATAAAGTAAATGAAGTTCCCCAATGTGCACATTTTTGGCTTTGGTTAAAGTTTAAAAATATTATTCTTCCTTTGAAAAGGCACTTTACAGACCATTTATCTTATTTGTTTAAATTAACATAACAAGAGGAGTAGAATTAAAGCCTAACCTACTTCTATTTACTGTACAAACATGAGCCTATTCACCAGGCACGTGTTCAGTTGCTCAGCTTGCAGTCTGAATACAGATGCTTTCCTAAAGGTCAGGAAAGGACAGCTGCAGTCTCGGTTTGCTACACCATAGCATATCCTCATGTATTTCTCTTCTTTAAACACAAATTGGCTGGATTAAACAGTTTCCCCTTAAGATTCCTTTGTCCTGAGTTTTGCCGAGGTCAAATTATCAAATGGGTCTGTGCTGAACTTTTCAGTTATTGATGGCTACAAAAAATTGAAAACAAACATGTCCTATGGGCATACTGTATGCTGTGTTTTATTTTTTAAAACAGGAATTACCCATTTAAGCTCTTATTATCCATAGTTAAGACTATTTTTAGTATGGCTCCTAAACACATAAACACATGCTACTAGCATAAATGTACAATAAACTACACTTTAGTTTCAGGATTTTTGGAAACATGGTATTAAACGTTTTTGAAAGCCAAATTTCCTGTTACAGCCACATACAAATGAAATAATTTACTTAAGGGCAGTAGTGAATCAAAACGCAAATGCTTCTATGTAGATTTTGTTACTGTATAGTATTGATAACATCTTTAAGAATAATTAATTATTCACAGAGTGGTTTAAATCAACTTTTTTTAGATTTTTTATTATTTCATTTATGAAAATCATATTTATTTTTTGTAAAGTTCTGTTTATACAGTTTATATAGCATTTAAACATTAAGTAGCAGTTCATTTTCTGGTCAGGCCTGTGGCAAATTTCTGAATGGGTATGAACTAGTTCTAAGCACATGAGCTGCCATGACATGAGTTTTGAGAGTGGCACTTGTTACACTATATGCATCTCTTGAGTGATGTTTTTACTTAGCTCACTGTGAGGAAAACCCTATTATCTATTAGGCTGACCTCGGGCATTTTGCTCTATGTGCATTTATCTACTGTGAGGTGAGCATTAAGTGGTCAGGATAATACTTGTTTTGTTCTGCACCTTAAGGGCCTGTTTACGCTGAGGGGTCAGTAAAACTGGAGCTGAATTTGTCTTGCATGACCTCCTTAATCTAAATCTGTAGTGAATTTCCTGCTCTTTGAGAAGTTTGACATGCAGTCCTGAAATTCAGCCCATTTTCATGTCACGTTAAGGATTGCAGTAAATTACTAAGTAATAATGTAGGAAAACCTTTGAGATTTTATACATACATTTTTATTTATAAGCACTTTCCAAAAAACCCAAAGCACTGTATAGCAGACTATGCATAATACACATAACTGGAATAAAAAAGAAAAGAAAAAAGCACTGTAATGGACCCAATTAAATCAATGGTGAAATGAGTTTTAAAAATATTTACAGTCACAAAATCTCTAATGGATTTGGGCAATGAGTTCCACAGATGTGGTGGCACAGAACAGAATGCTCTGTTGCCTATAAAGTGAAGCCTGATATTCAGTAACGAAAAAAGGCTTAAATGAGAAGATCTCAGATCATGTGTTGGACTATACTCATGCAGTAAGGCCTTAACAAAACATTAAAGTACCCTCCAAATTTCAAAGGGAGTCAGTGCAGTTTACATGGGATGAGAGTTTTTTTAACACACGAGCTGCAGAATTCTGAGAATATGGACATCTACAGTATAGAGCACCTTAGTAAATACTCAAATTATTAAGACTGGTCTTATTGTAAAATAGAATGTATTAATTAGCACACAAAGCAAATTAAGCACACACGTACAAAGCAAGGAACTCAACTGACCAATGCTACTGCTGAGTGGTAAAGGTACCCTTTTGATGTTCTTTGCATAAGCTTCAGATCACAAAACATGGTCAAGAGAAGCACCAAGGGTTTAATTTCAATTAAACCCTGTCAATACCAACACTGAAATCACCGAGCTGATTTCAGGAACCTACAGTATAACCTCTGTTTTGTCACAGTTTATCTTAACATTTTGCTGGGTTCATATCTTAATGTAAGACACAGATCTCTATAAAGGGCACAAAGTTGACAAACATAGGAAGGTTCGGCTTCTGTTGTGTTACATTCTTAAAGATTTACAGAAACCAGCTGTTAGAGCTTATAATTACTGAACACTGTTATATTTGGCATCAT